GGAACAAACATAATGCCCACACTTTGATTTCAGACTTGAAGTTTTACTGTGAGACAATACATTTCTGTAGGGTTTTTTTTTTAATGTAAGAATCTTTTTTTTTTTACAGATTTTATTTTTAAATAATCTCTACACCCAATGTGGGGCTCGAACTCACAACCGCAAGATCAAGAGTCACATGCTCTACCGACTGAGCCAGCCAGGTGCCCCTACGTATCTATAGTTTTAAGCCACCCAGTTTGTGGTACTTTGTTACAGCAGTTCTAGGAATCTAATACTGTGCCGTATCTTTTTACAGACACTCCCAACACAAACCTTTGTCAAATTCATACATTTCTTCATAGGCATTATGACTTCCCCCACCAAATTTGGGGATGTTTCCTTTCATGCAGTCCATGAAGAGCATCAGAAGCTAAGCAGTGAACTCTTACCTGTTGTCTTTTGACCTTCCCACATTCCTTGGGTGTATTTTATTATCCCTTATATTTCACCTGTCCAACTGGAGAAGGAAATGTGACAGCATAAGCACACGACGTGCTGGGAAAGCCTCATGCCTTTGTTTCCCATCAGTTGTATTCTATGGGTGCTGGGTAGGGACCAGGGAAGTCATAAGAGGGTGTGCCCCACCCTGATCCTGGGGACAGCATCCAGGGGAATTGCATCCATCATCCCACTGCATCATTACCATCAAACTGTCTCTCCTCCATCCGATCCCAGGGTGTGTTAGAGGCAGGGGTCTGTGCTCATTTTCATCTTATTTCAGGCAATTATTAACCTGAAGGTGCCTGTAGGCTCTGGGAGATAGAAGGGAAAGAATCTTCATCTCCCTCCCTGCTGCTCTTCTGGCTTCTAGTTTCCTCTCCCCCTTTCTCTTGGGGTAACTCTTCCTTGGCACCCATCCCCACAGGGCAGCCATCCTCTTCTTGAAAAGTGGCTCTTTTGGCGCCTGGGTGGCTCAGTTGGTTGAGCGACTGCCTTCGGCTCAGGTCATGATCCTGGAGTCCCGGGATCGAGTCCCGCATCGGGCTCCCTGCTCGGCAGGGAGTCTGCTTCTCCCTCTCCCACTCCCCGTTTGTGTTCCCTCTCTCACTGTGTCTTTCTCTGTCAAATAAATAAATAAAATCTTAAAAAAAAGAAAAAAAAAGAAAAGTGGCTCTTTTCAGAAAGTAGAGGGCTTTACATTCCTTCTTGCTTTTATATTCAAGGGCCTCACAACCTAGCTTGACCATGTCCTACCCTTCACCTAACTCCCCACCACACCAAACTTCCTTTAGACCCTCCATCCTAACATGCCTTCTCTGCCTCCCAGGAATGACACCTGCTGTTCCCTCTGCTTAAAACATGCTTCCATCAAAAACTAATGATGTAATGTATGGTGATTAACATAACAATAAAAAATAAAAATAAAAAAAATAAAAGACCATACTTTCTCTGCAAAAAAAAAAAAAAAAAAACATGCTTCCTTGCCCACACGATGTGAAACATTCCTGGAGAGGGAAGAAGGGGAGTGGGTAGAGTTCTTTTGTGCACCTTTCGGGACCCCAGGTTCCCTCTATTAATAGGAGGGCCACATTGTCCTTACTTACTGTCCCTCTCCCCTCTGGAGACTGTGAACTTCTCAAGAACAGGGCCGCGGACATATTTGTCTTTTTATCTGCAGCTGGGAGCAGCTAACTTTGTGGTTTGAAACAGGACCTCGCGTGGGCTTGTTGCATGAGAGGATGGAAGAAATAAGTGAACAGTAATGACCATAATAATGAAAGTTATTATCCACACAGGATTTTTTGTGAGTCTGGCTCTGTGTGTATTCAAGATCTCATTTAAGGCTAATAGGAGCCGGTGCTGGAGACCCATTTATCCCCACTGCACAGATGAACAAACAGAGGATTTGAGAGGTAAAGAGCAGATATCATAAATAGTAAGTGGTTAAAAACCAAATCTGCCGGATTCCAGGGCCCGAGTGCCCCACGATTACCGCACGTACCAAGACACAGACTGGCGGACTAGCAGGGAAGCAGTACAGGGTAAAGACCCGCCTCTGTCCGGGTTCCGGCTAGGGGCTGTGGTCGCGTACTCCCAGGCGGACTGGCGACGCGTGCGCAGTGAGGTGGTGGCGCCCCCTGCGGGCGGCGCGCGGGCGGCAGAGGCGGCGAAGGGGCGCTCAGTGCGCCTGCGTGCTGGTGGAGGTGGTGGTGGTGCTCTGCCGGGGCTCGGCTGTTCGCGCGGCGGGTGCGGCCATGGCGCAACCGGGGAAGCTGCTCAAGGAGCAGAAGTACGACCGGCAGCTGAGGTGAGCCAGGGCTCACCGAGTTGGGCGGGCCGGCCGGCGGGCTCCTTTGCGTCCCGGCCGGGCCTAAGCGAGCGGGCGGCGCGGTCGGGCCTCTTCCAGGCCTCCGGCTGGGCCGGGCCGGGCAGTCTTGGGCTTGGGGAGCCGGTTCCCGGGGCTCCCCGGCCTGGGGCCCCGGGGTGACCCTTGAGGGTCGGAACTCTCCTTCTCCGAGGGGTGCGCCCGCCCGCCCGCCACGCGGTGTGCAGTTCGAGGTTCGCCGCCCCAGTGTCGGGCGGGTCACCAGGGCGGCAGCCGGCCCCGCCCCGCTGGGCGCTTACTCCTCATTTAGCAGAATTGGGGGATCGCGTGTACCCCATCCCGGCCGCCCCGAGCAGCGCCGAGTGTTAGGGATTGTCCTGAGCCAGCGCTGTCCAGGAGGAATATAATGCCTGTCCTGTGTGAGCCGCATATGTAATTACATTTTTAGTAGCCACATTAAAAAGAAACAGGTGAAATTAATTTTTATACAGTTTCTTTAACCCAATATATCCAAAATATTACCATTTTAACACTTAATCAATATAAACATTTATTAGGGATTTTTTTTTTTTTACCTCTTTTTTCATGCCGTCTTCGAAATCTGGCATTTTACACTTGTAGGCACATCCCAGTTCCGACCAGCTAGCCTCATTTTTAGTGTTCAGTAGCCAAATGTGGTTAATGGCTACCTTAGTGGACACTGCAGGTCTAAGCCATTAGGCAGGTCCTTGGCTAATTCCTCTATCTTGCCTTTTCTCCTTACACACCCCATTCCTTATTTATTAAGCATCGTCTATGTGTTAAGGCAGTGGAAGTAACACAAATGCTTGGCCCTCATCCTTTCTGGAAACCGCCCCCCCCCCCCCCCAAGCCGGGAGAAGTTACAGTATGTCCCTATATGTCCCCTGGAACTCCCATATGCACCTACAGCTTAGTTCTGTATTAGGGGCTTCAGGCACTTAATTCTGAGAGCAGCATTGAAGGCTGACATTCTCTTGGCTTTATAGATGGGGAAATGGAGTCTTGGAGAAACTTAGATAACTTGTCCAGAGTCTCCCATGTATTTGAGCCAGGATGTAAACATAGGCCCTTCTGGCTTTTTCAGAGCTTGTTCTCAGTCACATCACTCTGCTCCCAAGCTTCTGGGAAAGGAAGCAAAGTGACAGAGCCCTTGTAACCAACTTGTGTTCTTTTGTAAATTCTTAGCATTGCTTGTGTTTTGAATTCAGATATAACCATACAAGAAAGAGCTGAGAAGATATTTTAGGTTATTGAAATTTTTGAATTTGAGAATTTTTGCTGAGTCCCATCCAGTTAAGGACCAAATTTTACTTTGCATAGTGAGAATTGGTTATCGGTTTTGGAATGTCAGAGGGAGGCTGCTAGAAGCAAAGTTGTACAGCCGGGCAGGAGTCAACCAGGCCGTGCTCTCCATAGTTAGGCCAGCATGGGAGCAAAGAGGATTGATTTCTTGTCTGGCCTCTTTCTTGAAATGCCTTACCTAGAAATGCACCAGTATTCTCTTAGGCTCACTATCTGAGTACCCAAGCATCCATCAACCAAATCTATCTTGTCTTGTGTGTGCCCTACTTTCAAAAAAAAAAAAAAAAAACAGATGTTTCCCGTCTGTCTGGTTCTTCTAGGCTATTCCTCCATTCATTTGACAGCTGTTCAGTGATCACTTCCTCTGGGCAAGGCAGCGTGCCAGGCATTTGCGGCTCCAGGGGTGCACATAGGGAGTTATCTGGGCCCTCATGGAGTTTAGAGTGGAATGGAGAGATGGATGTTCCTCAAATAAAAAACCAAATGAAATAGTTACAGTTGTGATATGCTCTGGAGGACATACTGGCTACGCAATAACAGGGCATCTGTTTTTGATCAGGTGACCGGGAAAGCACATTAAAGCCTGTCAGTCCTCCAGACTGTGGCATTTTTCTAATGATTTTCATACTTCCCATACTGACAAGGAAGGATAAAAGGCTTTCTGGGTGAAGGTAACCAGACTGGGCCAGATGCCATGATGCATGTGTGATCATGCACCTTGCCCTGTTAATGATATGCCAGTGTGAATCAGGTTATAACGTATATTTCTGATCCTTATTATATCTTTGTGTTTGATAATGTATGCATTTATTAATCATGCTATTAAAATGAGCATTGGGTTTTATATTTTAAAGCACTCCTATAGAAGTCAACATGAGGCTTTCCATATGACAGTAATTCAGTTTTCTTGGTAAAGCTTTTATCACTCTTGGAGATGTCACAGTGATAAATTCTATGTCAAGATCTTAAATATACTGGCTCTGTGTAATTTAAGGAGAAATGAAATAGAGGATCAAATGGGTTTTAAGTCTAAGGCAGTTCTTTAATGTTAATGAATATATCTAATATATCTGTTCTATAAGTTATCTGGCTTGAAAAGAGTAATGGACAAGGAGCTGGAAGACCCAAGTTTTTAGTACAGATTTGACCCCCTTCTAATCATGCAAAGCATCAGCCTGTCTGAATCTTAGGTTACTCAGCTATAGTCCCCGTAACACCTGATGCTCTTCCTGTCTCACGTGTTTACTGTGGTTATCACATCAGCCATTCTGTGCAAGAACACTTTGAAGATCAAAGATCACCATCCAAATAAGAAAGTTGGATTTGTGTGGAAGTTTTAGAAGTGTTGAATTTGTGTCTTGTTTTGTAGGTTGTGGGGTGATCATGGGCAAGAGGCTTTAGAATCTGCTCATGTTTGCCTAATAAATGCAACAGCCACAGGAACCGAAATTCTTAAAAACTTGGTACTACCAGGTAAGGTAGTTTTGTGGTAGTAAATTTACTCCATACAGTTTTGAACTAGAAATTATGTGTCCTTGACTGACTCTGTTTTGTCTTCCAGGTATTGGTTCATTTACAATTATCGATGGAAATCAGGTCAGCGGAGAGGATGCTGGAAATAAGTATGTTCTATTCTTTTCAAACACATGCATATTAGGGAAAGCAGTGCACTGTCACAGGAGAGTAAGGCCTAAATCCCAGCTCCACCTCCTCAGCCAAGGTGACTTGACTCTCAGGTGGAAATAATCCCTGTGTTTAGGATTATGGTGAGGATGAAGTAAGTCATTATACGTGTCCAGCAGATAGACCATTAATAAAAGGTACCCATCATTACTGTCTTCATTGTTGCTATTAGTGCAAAGGAGTAGTCCTTATTCCTTGATTTGTGAAATCTAGACAATTCCTAAGTCCTTGCATTGATCCCTAGGGGTTAGTACATAATTTAAAATAATTGTATTTTTGAAAAAAAAATTGTATTTTTGGATTACAAGAATAATAAAAATTACCTTTTATTTGTGTTTCTTCTGAGCTTAGTCCAGGTATATCTCTCTGTATACTCCACTGTCTCTATAAAAATGCTGTTTTAAAGATGGCCTGTATATTATTTTTTAAAGATTATCATAATATAGTTTTCCAAAGCATTGCCAGATTTGGATTTCAAGTTCTTCTCCAGACTTGGAGGCTGGAATCTCTCATTGTATTTGTTAGTATATGACAACAGTGAGTACATTCAAGAAAAGTCAGAATTTAGTTCATATTGAGCTTTGATATCTTTTCTTTGGGTGGTAGTGTATCTACAACAGCACCCTTCTATTGGTATCTATCTATAAAGAAAAAGTCCTATTATCTTTGCTTACTTGGTTGGTAGAGCAGTGTGTGATAAGAATAAGGTTTCTTTTGATTATGGAGCCACTGATTTTATGCTACAAAATGGTGCCCAGCCTCAAATCTGGGCCTTGAGACATGACAAGGGTATGTGGGAGGAAACCTGAATAAGTCTGTTTTAGTTAACCTGCAAAAGCAAGCAGTTCAATATAGCACTTCTCAAGTGTGGTCTGTGGAACACTGGCTCTACGGAATGTTAATAGCTGCTAAATGGGCAAATGGATTCCATGGTCAAATGAGTTTGGAAATGGGCCAAATGAAGTTAAACATTTCTCTAAGATAAGACCTTCTTAATATCATGTGATATATTTATTATGAATTTCCAAGAGGGAAATATAACATATGGTGTTTCCCAAACTTTGTAAAGCCAGGGAACTTTTATTTATTTATTTATTTTTAAATTTTTTTTTAAGATTTTATTTATTTGCAAGAGAGAGAATGAGAGACAGAGAGCATGAGAGGGAGGAGGGTCAGAGGGAGAAGCAGACTCCCTGCTGAGCAGGGAGCCTGATGTGGGACTCGAGCCCAGGACTCCAGGATCATGACCTGAGCCAAAGGCAGTCGCTTAACCAACTGAGCCACCCAGGCGCCCAAGCCAGGGAACTTTTATTCTCTCAGAGCATCTTATGAAATTTGTGTTCTGTGGTACACACTTTGGGAACATTGATTTATTAGCCTGGTCTTTGATTACAAATTTCATCCTGTTATCTTCCTCCAGGAACGCTGTTATTAAATAAATTTAATAATCTATTATTAAAATATAGTTAGTATTTATACTATGAATGAAATATACCTGGTGTTACAAATAACCTTCCCTTTATAGTCAAAGAAGCCCTTAATTTTTTTTTTTAATTCTGTTCTAGTTTTTTCCTTCAAAGAAGCAGCATCGGCAAGGTAAACCATCGGTTTATTATAGAATATAGCTGTGTTTGAGCATCTAATGATGCCACTGTATTTTGATTGCTTGGAAAGCTTTGACGTTCAAAGAGCTTTTATTTCTCTGAGAAAAAAGTTAAATTAGCTTTATTTTTTTTAAATCTCGCAAATCTTTATATGCTTGGTGGTTTAAGAACTTAAACGTACTGTCTATGTTTTTATGCTGTATCCTGTATTAAAGCTAAACCTTGAGATTAACATAAGGAGGATGGAATATTCTGGTTAACAAGATTTTTAAGAGTTAGCCAGCCTATCTTTTATTTTTGTATGTTCCGTATTAAAATTCTTACAAAGCCATAATAGTCAACTTAATACAGTGTTCTGAATGGAAATGACTGTTTCTTTGACCTCTCATACAGGATTATAAATGTGGGAGGTTAGAGTGAGTCTAAACTTGGTCCAGAATATCTCTGCCTGCTACCCAAGGTTTTCTGGTCATTTGCCTGCTCAGAAAAGTTGGGTACAAATAATATAGTCTTTAAGTAGTATTTAAAGAAATATTGTGATTGAACCTCAGCTTAAATACTATGAAAAGCAGAATTGTCATAGCTATGCATGAAATTTGGGAAGTTTTATAATATGTTTGCTTGATCTGTAAATTGAGTGGTTATATTTTAACCAAATTTTTTCTAATTCAAGTCAAATGCTCTTTTTTTTTAAAGAACCGAGCTCAGGCTGCCATGGAATTCTTACAAGAATTAAATAACGATGTCTCCGGGAGTTTTGTGGAAGAGGTATATATGGTATATATATATATGTGGAAATGTAATTTTTTAATAATTCAGAGCCCTAAGAGTTTGGAATTTTGAGTTTATTTTAGTAATCTCTACGCCCAGCATGGGGCTCGAACTGGTGACCCCGAGATCAAGAGTCACCTGTTATACTGACTGAGCCAGCCAGGTGCCCTAGCATTTAGAATTTTGAATCTTTGTATATTTAAGAGTTGAATTACTTTAACACTGGAGTCTAACATGTTGCCTCATTTGTTCTAAAATAGCTTAACTGTTTCTGCCATGTTTAACATGATTATAAAATTGTTTAATTTTTTTCCTGTGTCCTATTTAGAGTCCAGAAAACCTTCTAGACAATGATCCTTCGTTTTTCTGTAGGTTTACCATTGTGGTTGCAACTCAGCTTCCTGAAAGGTAAATTTTTATGTTAATTCATTTTTATTTTAGTCTCTTATTAGATTTGCATAGTTTTGTTTTCTCTGCAAAGACTATAGTTCTTAAAATTCTTTATTTAAAAAAATTTTTAAATTAATATATTTATTTTAAAGATTTTATTTTATTTAAATTTTTTTTAAAGAGTTTATTTATTTATTTGACAGAGAGAGAGCGAGAGCAGGAACATAAGCAGGGGGAGTGGGAGAGGAAGAAGCAGGCTTCCCTCCAAGCAGGGAGCCCGATGCGGGGCTCGATCCCAGGACCCTGGGATCATGACCTGAGCCAAAGGCAGACGCTTAACGATTGAGCCACCCAGACACCCCTAAGGATTTTATTTATTTATTTGAGAGAGAGAAAGAGACCGAGACAGAGAGTTTAGAGTCGGGGGGAGGGGCAGAGGGAGAAGCAGACTCGCTGCTGAGCAGGGAGCCTCATGCAGGGCTCAATCCCAGGACCCCAAGATGGTGGCCTGAGCTGAAGGCTGCTGCTTAACTGACTGAGCCATACGGGTGCCCCTCTTTTTTTTTTTTTTTTTTTTAAAGACTTATTTATTTGAGAGAGAGAGAGCAGGTGAGGGGGGGCAAGAGGGAGAGGGAGAGAGAATCTCAAGAAGACTCCCCGCTGAGCACGGAGCCTGGTGTGGGTCTCTGTCTCACGACCCTGAGATCATGATCTGAGCCGAAATCAAGAGTCGGATGCTTAATTGACTGAGCTACCCAGCACCCCTGTAGTTCTTAAAGTTCTTAAACTCCACAGAAACCTTTAATGGAAGTGCTTATAAGTCTCCAACATCAAAAAGATGGGGAAGAGAAAAATACTGAGATGTGAAACTTTTCCTACTATATTTAGAGCAGTTAAATTAAACATCGGTTATTTTTTAGTGAAAAAAAAAACCTAGTTAGAATTATAGAGTGTGCTTGGGGGTGTAGATAAGGGTTTTATAGATATTTTCTTTATCATTATGGAAACGTGTAAGAAGTAGAAGTGTCTTTCAATAACATTCTCCCTAATACAAAAGAGGAGGCTTTCATGTTCCTCTAGTCCAAGAGATACACTTTCTGTGAGGCTGCAGTCTTGTGGAATTGCTTTTCAGTGTATCCATGATCTGCTTGTGTAAATATAATAGATATATCTTTGCATTTATTACTTAGTAAGAAAGTTGCTTTATTTTAGAGTGTTTTCATGTTTGGCCTATATCCATTTGCTTATGTTCTTATTTATTGTGCTTTCCTTTACAGTACATTACTACGTTTAGCGGATGTCCTTTGGAATTCACAAATACCTCTTTTGATCTGTAGGACATATGGACTAGTTGGTTATATGAGGATCATTATAAAAGAACATCCAGGTAAGTCTGTTGCACCTATGGGGCTTGCCATTGGTTGCTTTAGCTACACTTTTAGAAACCTGACAATTTAGAAAATCAATTTTGTTTTTTATTTTTATTTATTTATTTATTTTTTAATTTATTTATTCCAGAGACAGACAGAGAGAGAGCACAAGCAGGGGGGAGCAACAGAGGGAGAGGGAGAAGCAGGTTCTCCACTGACAGGAATCCTGATGCAGGGCTCGATCCCAGGACCGTGGGATCATGACCTGAGCCGAAGGCAGACACTTAGCCGACTGAGCCATCCAGGTGCCCCATAGAAAGTCAGTATTAAATTACAAAGTAAATTTTAGGGGCGCCTGGGTGGCTCAATCGTTAAGGGTCTGCCTTCGGCTCAGGTCATGATTCCAGGTCCTGGGATCGAGCCCCACATTGGGCTCCCTGCTCGGAGAGAAGCCTGCTTCTCCCTCTCCCACTCCCCCTACTTGTATTCCCTCTCATGCTGTGTCTCTCTCTGTCAAATAAATAAATAAAATCTTTAAATAAATAAATAAATAAATAAATTACAAAGTAAATTTTAACAGCACAACTCTGGTTACAGGTTCAGAGTGGCAATCAGAATCAATAGTCTTTAATATTTCCTTTACTTAGTGTTATAGAAGGGTACAAAGCAGGAGATACAACAAGTACAGCTTCTTCATCTTATTAGGAGGCCCAGGAGCAAAACAAGTCCCTAGCTTTTTTTGCCTCTCAACCCACATAGGGCGTGTAGGGCTGCTACAGGTGAGAGCCACGGTATGTGGGTCACAGTGACACATGGACGTCGTACCAGCTTTTCTCTACCAATCTTTCATTCCATTCTCATAGAGGCATTAGGCTCCCCCAGTTCAGGTACAGTTCTACACAATAAGCAAGGCATTTACCTAACTACTGCTCCAAGGAAACAGTGTTATAGGAGACTGAAGTCATATATAGGTAAGCTTGCATTAGCTCAAGGATGATATTAGACCTTTACTTACAAATTAAAAAAAAAAAGATTTTATTTATGTATTTGAGAGAGAGAGAGTGAGCACGTGCAGGAGGGGCAGAGGGAAAGAGAGAATCTCAAGTAGACTCCACACTGAGTGGGAGCCGCACGTGAGGCTCAGTCTCATGACCCCGAGATCATGACCTGAGCCAGAGCCAAGTGTCGGACGCTGAACTGGCTGTGCCACCAGGCGTGCCCCTACTTAGAAATTTTTAAGCTTAAATCATCATCCAGTTTTCATTCAGTATTCCTGCATGGCTCTGAGCCAGGGAACTCTGCTGGCGTAGTGATAGCCATTGGTGTTGGTAGTATCACGGGGGAGTAGTATCTGCCTGGGCAGTTAGGGGGTGGCTTCTGGGCATCAGCTCTCGGCAGGTGGTAGTAGGCCCTTTAAGAGTTGTAAGTGGGAGAGTGACAGGGAGAAAATTTTATTTCAAATGTATACCCTGAAGTGGGGTGGAGAATGAATGGGTTTGAAGGAGCAAAGATTGGAGGCAGGGGTTGCTGTTAGGAAATTTCCAGTGGCGTAACTAGGTGAGAGAGACAGAGACCGAGCCCCTGACCTAAGGCAGATATTACAAGGATAGGGAAGAGGGGGTAAATAATAATAATAAATAATAATAATAAAGGGGTAAATAATAATTAACGTTGCTGGCTGTGTGCCTGCTGTAATGTGGATTATTTCATGTAATCTTTCCAAAATCCTTATAAGGTAGATACTGTTATATCTGCTTTTTGCAGATGAGGATGCTGAGGCACAGAGATTAAGTTATTTGCCTAAAGTCACACAGCTAGCAAGTGACAGAACTAGGCCTAGCTCTAAACACTCACCGAAATTACACATTCCTGTACTCCCGCCATATGGAGAACTGTGATATTAGGCTGTGTAATGACTGATGTTGGGCCAAGGAAGAAAGAAATCAAGGATAGGGACACCTGGCTGGCTCAGTCAGAAGAGCATGCAACTCTTGATCTTGGAGTTGAAAGTTCGAGTCCCACTTTGGGTGCAGAGATTACTTAAAAATAAAATCTTAAAAAAAAAAAAAAGTAAAGGATAACCATCAGGTTTCTAGGGAAGAGGTCTAGGTAGATGGTGATGATGTCTATTGAAGACCACAGGAGGGGAAAGGTAGATTGTTAAGTACTATCTGAACACATATTTTATCAGTTTTGGTCTTTTAAAATTATAATAGCAAGAAAATTCAGCTCTAGAGGAATTTTGAGTTTACTCTTACTAAAACTATAGTCCACTTATGATTTGTGCATTTAGAAAAATGTAAATATATATGTGTATATAAATTTATCTCAATCATGAACAGAAAAGGGGTGCCTGTCGGGCTCAGTTGGTGGAGCATGTGACTCTTGATCTTGGGGTTGTGAGTTCGAGCCCCACATAGGGCGTGGAGCTTACTTTAAAAAATTAAAAAATAAAATCAGGGGCGCCTGGGTGGCTCAGTTGGTTAAGCGACTGCCTTCGGCTCAGGTCATGATCCTGGAGTCCCAGGATCGAGTCCTGCATCGGGCTCCCTGCTCAGCAGGGAGTCTGCTTCTCCTTCTGACCCTCCCCCCCCACGCTCTCTCTCTATCTCATTCTCTCTCTCAAATAAATAAATAAAATCTTAAAAAAAAAAAATTAAAAAAAAATTTAAATAAAATCAGTTCCTTGGGAGAAAAAAAAAAAGAAACAGAAAAAAAACCTGTAGGTCCTATGCCCATTTAGAAAGTATAGATTTCTTTTTTTCATGATCTGTGATTTTGTTTTTAATTATCTTAAGCCTTATCACATAATTTACAGACTTGTGCTGATGATATATCTTTTCATTTTTCACCCTTCTAACGAGTTGGCAAAAGCACCATTACCAATCATACATATATGGTAATTCACAGTTGTGTCTTTGAATAGCTGTTTAGAAGACAATCCTGAATTATAACTTAGTCTGACTTAGTGAAGAATCCACAAGCCAAATCTGCTGCTATATCTTGTCACACAGAATTTTAAAAGCATGTGACCTTACAGATCATCTATAAAATGTGAGAAGTGTTAAGTATTCTTTATTTAATATTGTACATAAACCACACTAAAATGCCTTTCATTAAGCAAAAGGCAACATTTTAGATGCAGGGAATTTTAACCGCATTGGCATAGTTAAGACCAAAAAGATAAAGTGGACACTGCCAGCTTATCTTCAGCCCTTGCCTTTAACAGGCTAACAAACACAACTTGGAACACAGCTGAGTCTTGCTGTTCTGAGACAGTGAAGGGATTTCCTCAGTATTTACATATGTATTAATATAACCAGTTATATCAGTCTAAATATAAAACTAATATTCTATAAGTTTAGAGATGGCATTTACCATCTCTGTGAAAAGCTGACCATTACTAATCAATTGTAATTGAATCTCTGGAAGGGGAAAACAGTGACAGCACTTGCTGAACCAGAATTACTATCAAAGTTCAAAAAGCTGATCCTATTCATTTAACCACGAGCCCATCTTATTTAAATCGGGACTGTCCAAAAGAAATATTCTATCAGCCATTCATGATCCGAATTCTCGTGTATGAGATCAATTTAAATATGGTACACATAAGAAAAAGTCATGAGACATTTTTGTTTTGTAATAAGGCAGTGGCCAACTATTACTCCTTAGTAGCCCTTTTTGAGATAAGCTGTCAAGTCTGCTCTTTCTCCTGTCTTAATGCCAGTGAAGATCATTTTTGTTCATGGATGTACTTCTTGGGATTCTCCAAATACTCCATCAATGTCTCCTCTCCCCAGGCGATGTCTTTGTTCTTGTTGTTATCCGTGTAAGAAAATCCAGGGGACTGACATGTCTTTCGACCAAATAAACCATGAAGATTTGGGCCAATCTTGTGCTTGCCTCCCTTTTCCACGGTATGGCACTGGGCACACTTCTGAACAAAAATCTTCTTGCCCTTTCTCAACATCACCCATTTTTAAGTCGCTCTTTTATCACATGCAAAACGAATCTGCCTGCTTGCAAGCCGGATGTCCCACTCTCTCAGAAATTATAGATTTCTTAAGTCCCTATAATGTAGTGTATTCCAGAAGTATCGCTAAAGAAGTCTATGTTTTGGGATTATTTGTTTCACAGTAATAGAATCTCATCCAGATAATGCATTAGAGGATCTACGACTGGATAAGCCATTTCCTGAACTGAGAGAACATTTTCAGTCTTATGATTTGGATCATATGGAAAAAAAGGTTGGTAGTATGTATGACCTTCCATTTACAGATGGATTAAAAGATTTTTTTTTAACTTAAGGTTTTTGAATTACACCATAGTGAGAAAATATTATAAACATCCATATTCTTGTCATCCAGATTACATAGTAACAACATTGTACTTAATTTGTTTGAAATAAATTTGTTTTCCACCAAAATTTGAAAAGCTTTTTTTTTTGAAGAGCAGTTCATTAACTGAACATATCTGTGTGATCAACACCCACGTCAAGAAATTGGGTAATAGGGGCGCCTGGGTGGCTCAGTCGTTAAGCGTCTGCCTTCGGCTCAGGTCATGATCTCAGGGTCCTGGGATCGAGCCCCGCATCGGGCTCCCTGCTCCGCCGGAAGCCTGCTTCTCCCTCTCCCACTCCCCCTGCTTGTGTTCCCTCTCTCACTGCCTCTCTCTGTCAAATAAATAAATAAAATCTTTAAAAAAAAAAAAAAAAGAAATTGGGTAATAACATCCCAGCAGCCTTCTTCATAACCCTTTTGTAAACAATTAGATGTACTTTTTAAAATAGTGTGAATTTGGGGTGGGTGTTTGTTGAAATTAATTCCTCTTGAAAGTTATTTTTAGTGTTTGAAGAGTTACCAAAGCAACTCCATATTTCATTATAGAAATAATGATATTTATAATAGACTATGTAACTTAGGGAGTATGTGGTTTTTTTCCTACCCATGTATTAATTAAAATGCAGGTATTTGACCAGAAAACAGAGTTTTCTCAGTCTAGGATTGGTATCTGAAATCAAGAGATTTGAGCTTTCTCTTCAGGTGGCAATCTCTGAGACTCTTTTATTGACGGTAAAATGGGGACAGTCTTAGTACAAACCTGCCATATTAGGACTAAATTGGATATTGCTTCTAAAAAAAGTTTGTAAAGCCATTTTTTTTTTTTAAAGATTTTATTTATTTATTTGAGAGAGAATGAGAGACAGAGAGCATGAGAGGGAAGAGGGTCAGAGGGAGAAGCAGACCCCCTGCCGAGCAGGGAACCCGATGTGGGACTTGATCCCAGGACTCCAGGATCATGACCTGAGCTGAAGGCAATCGCTCAACCAACTGAGCCACCCAGGCGCCCCTGTAAAGCCATTTTCATTAATGCAGTTCATTTTCCTCCATTCACTATACTACATATAGTGGGAGATGATCATAATTACTGTTGGATTTGTTGAAAATGAGATGATGTGATAAAAACTAAATGTAAACTAATTAATGTTAACTAATACTGACATTTTCTTTGGTTTTTCTTTCGTTTTTAGGACCATAGCCATACTCCATGGATTGTGATCGTAGCTAAATATTTAGCACAGTGGTATAGTGAAGTACGTCCTTTTTTAAAAACACAAATTTCATATATGACTGTATTTTCAATTTATTATAAAGGATTTCAGTGGAGGAAAGTGGGAGATTAATTCTTTTCTTTATATGGTTATAGAGGAGGTGGGTGCTTTTCTGTTTAAATCTGGCAGTACCTCTTTTGATACTGATATTTTTATTAACAAAATGAAATATCAGTAAATGTCATTCTGAAACTGGCAGTGGGGAATGAATGTAGAGAAATGGCTCACAGTTTTTGTTTTCTTTCAAGTCAGTCTCTGATTTCACTGAGGTATTTGCTGATGAAATCTCATGTGGATGTGAGAATGGGGGAAACTTGGGACTCTCAGTTTCCATGTTTTGATTTTTTATAACTAGAATTTAAAAATTTCTAACCAATTTAGACAAATGGACGAATACCTAAAACGTATAAAGAAAAAGAAGACTTCAGAGATTTGATTAGACAAGGTAATATGATGGGATACAATTGAATGTTGTATAAAGTTTGAAAAGCAAATTGCTTGAAGCTGTTTGTTGGATTTCTGTCAGTGGCTTTGTCAGACAGTGCCATCATGAGCTTGTATTTTATTTTTTCTCAGGGGAGGTTTAGGAGCCACTCATCATATAGTTTTTTAAATAACTACTGATAGTTTCCTCATCTGTGAATGAGGAACTGGGTGCTGCTGATAACTACCTCGTGGGTTGTTGTGAGGATTCATTCATACAGTAAAATGTGAAGTACACTTAGTAGTGTCTGATACAAAGTAAAAGCTTAACAAAGGTTAGCTGCTAATATTAATAAAAAAATGACTAATGATAAGCCTCTTTCTTCTTAAGTTTCAGTATCCAGTCCTCCCTTTTAAGATCTGATGAGGTTATTTCCATAATGTTAGGGAGAGCAAAGGGGTGAGAAGAAAAGGGCTATTTTTTGCTAACCAATTTCTATTTTACTAGGAATTCTAAAGAATGAAAACGGGGCTCCGGAAGATGAAGAGAATTTTGAAGAAGCTATTAAAAATGTGAACACAGCACTAAACACAACTCAGGTATTAAAAGTGTTGCTGAGGAATTCATACAAGAAAGGTGTTTTCTGAAGTCCTCATCTGAAATAGTTGATTTTATATTTTTCTTTTTTTTTAAAAAACCATTTATTTATTTATTTTAGAGAAAGAGTAAGCGAGAGAACATGTGTGCATGTGTGCATGATTTGGTGGGGGCAGAGGGAGAGGGAGAGAATCCCAAGCAGACTCCCAGCTGAGTGCAGAGCCAGATGCTGGGCTCCATCCCACCACCCTGAGATCATGACCTAAGCTGAAATCACAAGTCAGGGGCTTAATTGACTGAGCCACCAGGTGCCCTTATTTTAGATTTAAGTTAATATTTCCTAAATTGTAAAGTTGTTAGAAATTAATATCTATAATATGGATTGAATCTTGTTTTAATAAGACTGTATTGTCCTTGTTAAAATGGTTATCGGTGCTTCAGCATATACTAGTGATACAGTGATTTATATACATTATTTGAAGTACATGATTTGTGAATAGTAACAGTTTGGGTGTAGGAAATATATAATGAAGGTGATATTTTGCTGGCCCAAAATAGTGTTGCCTGAAAGTTAAATCTTACCCTGCGTCTGCTTTTGACAGTAGTTGTTTGGATATAATGGAAGACGTTCTTAATGACATTGTAAAACATTATTTGGAGGATAACTCTGTTTAGATGCCCTTTGTTTTGTTGTTAAGGTCTCGCCAGTGAGGTTTTTGGGAAATTTGGAATAACACAACTGGTATTTTAAGTTAAGAATTTTCTTATAATTTAAAATGGCAAAAAATGCTGTCTTTCACATTAGGAAAGCACTTAAGCTGTCATTACAAACTTTTTGGAGACAATGAGGTAATATTGCTGAGTAATTAAAGTGTGTGCTTTATCAATCAGTTTTCTGGGGTGATGATAATTTTCTTTGTCTTAATTGAGGTGATGGTTAAAAGGACACGCAGAGTAATCAAAATGCATCAAACTGTACGTTTAAGATTCATTTCACTGAATGTAAAATTTACCCCAATTAAAAAAAACCCAAGGTTCTCATAGTTAGGTTCTGTATGGTGAACCAAGCAGACAGATACATGCACTAGGTGCTATGAACAAAATTTGCACAGAACAGAGGGGTAGGACATGATGAGGATGAGGAGTTCTAGGATCGGGAGGGGGCCATTCAAGCATTTTGAGCAGGGCGTGGAGTGACGTTACTTATATATCTAAAAAATCATTCTGGTTCTTGTGAGAAGAATAGACTGTAGGGGACTGGGAGCAGAAACAGAGAGACCAGTTAGGAAGTTACCAATAAGAAATTTCTTCTTTCCACACAGCTGTAGAATCAAAGCCTATAATTTCAATAGTTGTTATTAATGTATGATGATTTTTGCCAGCCTTAAAAGTACTTAATTTAACTATCTAGTTTTTGCCAGAGTTGTTGTCTCTTCCAGTAGTTCCTGATTTAGGGTGTAAGGGTTTCACATTTTTGACAAGCTGGAAACACATGGACTACAAATCTAGCTTGCTAGTAATGTCTGAAATCTTTGTTATATCTTCAGATGTAACTATATCAAAAGACTTTGGCTCCCTTTTTAATCCATGTATGATGGAAGAGAACTGGTCAGTCTTTAATGCTGACACCAGTGGGCAGGAGGGGACTTCCTTCCATTCTCTCTTTCCTCATCAAATCTCTGTCTGGTACTGATTCTCAATGAAAGTCTAATAAGCATGGTGGCGGCTGGGTGGGTCAGTCAATTAAGCATTTACCTTCGGCTCAGGTCATGACCCCAGAGTCCCCGATTGAGCCCTGAGTGGGGCTCCCTGCTCAACAGGGAGTCTGCTTCTCCCTCTCCCTCTTTCCCCCTCATCACTTGTGTGCACACGTGCTCCCACTCTCTCTCTCTCTTTCTCTCAAATAAATAAAATCTTTACAAAAAAAGTCTAAGCACATCAGAAGTTTGTATTTGATTACAATGTAGGAATTAAAAGAATTTGTTTGGGGAAAGAGTGGAAATACAGATGGGCACATTCTTAGTATAAGTAAATGTTTTGTGTTCCTTTGTTAGATCCCAAGCAGTATTGAAGATATATTTAATGATGATCACTGCATAAATATCACCAAACAGGTAACAACCAAAAGTAAATAGTGCCATCTTAACCTTTGGGTCAAATTCAGATGCCATTTAATACTAATTTTTTTCTTACTCTTTTAGACTCCATCATTTTGGATTTTAGCTCGTGCCTTAAAGGAATTTGTGGCCAAAGAGGGTCAGGGAAATTTACCTGTTCGAGGCACAATTCCTGATATGATCGCAGATTCAAGCAAATATATAAAGCTGCAAAATGTGTAAGTCACTGTTTTCAAACTCTGTTACCAGTAAATTAACTTGTTTATAGTACAGATGAACATATTTTACCACTCTATCAGAAATCAAATGCAAGTCTGTTACAGTTTTTAAAAATAAGCTAAAAAAACTTACGGGCAGACTTTTTAAAATAGATCTTATTTTTAGAATAGTTTTAGGTTTATAGGAAAATTGAGCAGAAAGTACAGAGAGTTCCCATCTACTGACTAGGGGGCAGATTTTTTCTTTCATCTTTCATGATAAAAACCTAATATTTGACCATTTAACTCTGTGCTATGAACTGCTCTATGTATTAACTAATTTAATATTTACAACAACCCCATGAGAGAGATACTATTATTTTCCCAGTTTTACAGATGAGGAAACTGAAACATAGAAAAGGTAATTTATTCAGAGTCAGATAGCTGGGAAATAGAGTCAGGATTCGAACCCATGAAACCCAGCTCTATACTCTTTTTTTTTTTAGGGAGAGAGAGAGAGAGAGAGAGCGAGCATGAAGGGTAGGGGCAGAGGGTGAGGAAGAGAGAGAACCTGAAACAGATGCCCTGCTGAGCACAGAGGCTGAGGTAGGGCTCAATGCAGGGCTTGATCCCACGACCCTGAGATCATGATCTGAGCTGAAACCAAGAAGAGTCAGATGCCCCCCAGCTCTATACTCTTAACTATGGCCCTATAGGAACTTTTATCTATAACTTAAAACTTCGAAGTCTTTAGTTTGATGAATATTTTATCAAAATGTTTCATAATTTAAAGAGTTTGTGACTGTAGATGGACACCAGCTCTCTTAAGTGTCACTAGCCTGAACCCAGGTAGACTGTCATAAGTATGGATCTCAGTGGATATTACCCTTATGTAGTTTAGGCATGTTGCTGATGAATCCAGGGCCACTGGTTTGGGTTCCTCAAGGACCAAATGATGTCACACAGAAGATCTCTGTTCTCTAGACATTGTATTTTTCACCTCAGCCACTGTCTAACACACCTTTGTTGTCCTAGTCTAAAAGTTCAGTTATTTAAAACTTGGGGAAAGTCAGCTGAGGATAGACGGAAGTATGACCTCACAATCAAGGTAGTCAGCTTAACACTGATCATCTTCAGAGAATGAAAGTGTAAATAGACCTTATAGGTTTTACATGAATTTGTTTTTTCTACATGAATTTTTTTCTTTCTAAAGATTTTATTTATTTATTTGAAATAGAGCATGCGCACAAGGGGGGAGCAGCAGAGGGAGAGGGAGAAGTGTGCTCCCCACTGAGCAGGGATCCTGATATGGGGCTTGATCCCAGGACCCTGGGATCATGACCTGAGCCGAAGGCAGACGATGCTTAACTGACTGAGCCACCCAGGCGTCCCTGGAGATAGACAGTTTTGAAGTATTTGACTTTCCTTGGATTTAACTTCCAGGAGATAAATCATGTTCTTCAGTAACATACGTAGTCAGGTCCTCCCAGAAGCATGGATCGTGGATCCCTCTAGGAGGGTAGTTTTTAAATTGCTGTTAATTATAGAGGGAGCTCAGGCATTAGTACATTCCAAGAGTCCATCACCAACACTGGGGAGATTCCCAGCCACTAACAGCTGCTGCTGCTAGCATTTCCATGGCATTTTTACATTTGTATGTTACCAGACCAGTATTTTTTCATGAAAAGGAAAGAAATTTGCTTCATGGTGATATTTAAATTTTGCTAACTTTAAAAATTGTTGAAAACAGCTGTTTGTTGTTCTTTTCCAGTTACCGTGAAAAAGCAAAGAAAGATGCTGCTGCTGTGGGTAATCATGTTGCCAAATTGTTGCAGTCTATCGGCCAGGTAAGCTGCTGAGCCGAGCGTACTGTGCCTTTCACGGACAGTAGGGCTCCATTTGGCCTGATTGCATAACTCCAGTGGCCAAAAAGGTTTAGAGATAGAGGGTGTGGCCTGGTTCTAGGCTTCTTTAGAGGGATCTCTGACCTGGCTAATGAGAAAGGCCTTCACTAAGGAAACAAGGTGTTTTTACAGTGCTCTTCCAGTGCTTGGGGAAAGCCTCTCCATCTCCCAGTGATTGGCTTTGTGCTGCAGTCTGTGTTCATCTCCTCTTATATACTGGAGCAAAACCTGCATTTCTGTCTTTACAGGCACCAGAGTCCATTTCAGAGAAAGAATTAAAATTACTCTGTAAGTCCCCTTGAATTAATTTCTTTACTTCGCTTGATCGAAATGTTTTCAGGAATTTTAAATGGCTAACATTAAAAATTTTCCATGGTCTCAGTGGTATAGATAAGAATTACTAAGAGTTGGTGTTTTTTTCCCCTCATAATAAAGGGAGAGGGTGTTTTAAGACGGTCAGTGATAAAGCTTATCTGTCTATGGCAGTGCTGAAAAGACATGAAGGTCAGTTGAAAATTGTCAATACAGAATTATTTTCAGCTTATTACTTTTAAATAGTTTGGGAAAGTTTTATGTGAAGACTTTGGATGTGAAATCTCGAGTCACATGTACATTGACAATATTGGTTTAAATACTCACTTTGATCTGTGTTAAATGACTGATGGAATTAAGAATTTTGCCAACCAGTTTCAGAGTGGGTTGGCTCTTGGGATCTTGATAACTCCTTAGGAGGCCCAAAGCATTTTCTTGTATTTAAGAATTAGTTTAAGAGGGGGCGCCTGGGTGGCTCAGTCGTTGAGCATCTGCCTTCGGCTCGGGTCATGATCCCAGGGTCCTGGGATCGAGTCCCATATCGGGCTCCCTGCTCCGCAGGAGGCCTGCTTCTCCCTCTCCCACTCCCCCTGCTTGTGTTCCTGCTCTCACTATGTCTCTCTCTGTCAAATAAATAAAATCTTTAAAAAAAAAAGAATTAGTTTAAGAGGGGTGTCTCAGTGGCTCAGTTGGTTAAGCATCTGCCTTTGGTCCAGGTCGTGATCCTGGGGTCCTGGGATTAGGCCCTGTGTCCATCGGGCTCCCTGCTTAATTTATTCAAAGTCTTGAATAAATACTTAAGAGGGAGTCTGCTTCTCCCTCTCCCTCTGTGCTCTGTCTCAAATAAAGAAATAAAATCTAAAAAAAAAAAAAAATTAGTTTAAGAATAATAAAATTTGTTTTACATGCTGTCTGAGAATTTTTCCCTGTAGCTACTGCCTTAAGCTTCTGCAAAAGTCTATATTTTGTACGTTCCCCAGCTTTAAAATGTATTTATCCATGTTCTTCCTTTAATGACTCTTCCATAGTGCTTGTTGAGGCTTAGTTTTACTGTTTTGTTTCACTACCAATCTTGCACCTTGTTTTTGAATTTGTGTTTGCTCTACTAGCTCATATGATACCAGATTAGAAGCTGGATGTTGGGTACTTGAAAGTTAATTCTCTTCTCTCTACTTTGGGGTATGTTTGAAAATTTCCATAATACAAAGGGTTTCTTTTAAGAAAGTTTTACATATGTAAAGCGCACAATATATATAATGCTCTCCTTTAGGACTACTTATCCGTAATAATGATAAAAATGACTATTCACTGAGTCCTATCAGGTATTGTGGGAGGTATGCACTTGATACACTTGCACATTTCATCCACAGAACAACTTTCAAAGGTAATATCCCCATTTTACAAATGAAAGCAAGCTCAGAGAGGTGCCATCACCTACTTACTCAGTGCTGAGCTAGTTGTACTGCCAAGGATATGAATTTCAGATGATTTGTGTTCTAGTGCCTTCTCTGCTAACCATGAGAGCCAAAGAGGCGTTTCTTCACATTTCCATGTCTGTAAAGAGTATATACAAAATTTCCTGTTCTTTTTTTTTTTTTTAAAGATTTTATTTATTTATTTGACAGAGAGAGACACAGCGAGAGAGGGAACACAAGCAGGGGAAGTGGGAGAGGGAGAAGCCGGCTTCCCGCTGAGCAGGGAGCCCGATGCGGGGCTCGATCCCAGGACCCTGGGATCATGACCTGAGCCGAAGGCAGATGCCCAACGACTGAGCCACCCAGGCGCCCCCAAAATTTCCTGTTCTTAGAGTGACTTGTGATTTGGAATATTCACATCTCAACCGTTTACTTCCATAATGTCTTTCCTGTATTCAGGCACCAATTCTGCATTTCTTCGAGTGGTAAGATGTCGATCCTTAGCTGAAGAATATGGCTTGGATACAATTAACAAGGAGGAAATAAGTAAGTATAATAATCCTTTGATGCTAGGTTATTAGTTTTAATCAATTTTAGAGGTATAAATAAATATTTTGTGTTTAATAGTAGTGAGTATATGATGATAATTTATAGGATAATGTAAACATTGTACTGTAAATTTTATTCTATAAACCAAGAAGTAGTCATACTTCCAAATAGTCATAACTGCAAAATAAAAACTTAATATATACATGAAATCATCTTTAGGTTACTGAGTAAGTTATGTGATATGAAGAAGAGCTAAAGTCAGAACGTTACTATGTCATTAGAGATTATGTGACTAACTAATAGTCCTTAAGAACATTGAGTTTCATCTTAACATATCTCCCTCTCCCTTTATTTTACTATTATTTATCATTTTCTATTTTATTGTCACAAAATATTTAAATTTTGTGATAGAATTGCCGTGTATCCTGAAACTGGAGTATATAGTAAATTCAGTTCTACATTGTTTTTATGTAATGAATTATCCAAATTACACTGAATTGTTTTTCTCTTTCAGTTTCCAGCATGGACAATCCAGATAATGAGATAGTATTATATTTAATGTTACGGGCTGTTGATAGGTTTCATAAACAACATGGTCGATATCCAGGTGAGACTAGCAATCTCATTATCATATACAATAAAGTCTTGAGTAAATACTTAAATTGAATTAAATCTTAAAGTTTCTTGGGTGTTCTTGGGGTGTTTACAGCAGTGGTGCTTGAATTTTACATTGTAAACAGTTTATACCTACTTCATCTCAGGGAGGAAATACCATTTGTTTTTTAAGTGTAAGTATTTGCAAATAATGTTTGATTCTAAACTATTACAGGAGAATGTTGGTTGAATGCCTATAGAATAAAACTTTTTCTTTTTTTGAGGAGTTGGGGGGGAGGGGCAAAGGGAAAGAGAAAGAGAGAATCTTAAGCAGGCTGCACGCCCAGCAAGAGCCCTACTCGGGGCTCAATCTCACAACCCTGAGATCATGACCTGAGCTGAAATCAAGAGTCGGACACTTAACCGACTGAGCTACCTGGGTGCCCCTAGAATAAAATGTTTTTTTTCCTGTCAGTTTCCATAGTTTACTTCTAAGACTCACACTGAGTTTAATTTAGTGGAACAGGAAAGCCATAAGAAGTATGCCTAGTGACTTGAATTCCAAACTCTGAAGGTGTAGGGATTTCTTTGCTCAGAATCTATTTTTTGTTGTCTGTAAATGTAGTTAATTGGAGAATTGGTATAATCTCAAAAGATCTTCAGTTGACCAGAATATTTTTATTAAGATGATAATTTTAATTGTGCAGTATTACGGCATAGCAGCACATTCTAGAAGTATCAGAAAACCTGTTGCCCCAACTGATGTAGTATGCCCACTGAGTTACAGTCTTAACGAGCAAGCTTACCAGCAGAAAGAAAAGGAATAAACACCAAATATGTATTACTTTATGTGTATTGTTTGATAGCTTGTATTTTTGATTTATTGCATAACAAACCATCCTAAACCTTACTAGTTTAAAACAGTAAATTATTATCTTGTAATTTGTGGATTGGCTGGGCTCAGTTAGGCAGTTATCACTCTCGGAGTTGCATGACGCCTGGGGCTGGGGTCATCTGAAGGCTTGACATCCAAGAAGACATTTTCACTCATGTGACTGGCACTTTAGTTGGAACAGCTGGAACTGCTTGAGGGCTGGTTAGGCATCTCTCTCCATGGCTAACTGGGGCTTCCTTTTAGCATTGTATTCCTAGGGCAGACTTCTTACATGGTGGCTGGCTTTCCCAAAGTTAACATTCCAAAAGACCCAGGTGGAACATACAAGGCTTTTTATGAATTAGCCTCAGAAGTCACACAACATCACTTACATCATGTTCTATTGGCTTCACAGAGCCAGCTTAGATTAAGAGCGGGAGGGGACTTCGTGAGGGCACAAAGGAGTATTCATTGGGGAGCCATCTTGGGAGACTAGCTACCACAGAGAGCACAGGCTTTGGAGTTGAACCTAGGTTCAGATCTAAGCTCTGTCACTTACTATCTCTTGATCTTGGGTGGGTCAGTATTTCCAAGTCTCAGTTTTCTCATTTATGGAACAGCGATAATAGTGTCTACTCTTGGATTGTAAGGGTTACGTAGGTGATGTATGAAAATCACTTAACACACTGCATGGCACCTTGTAAGTATTCAATAAAGGCTTGGTATTATTATTATGAGGAAGAGTAGTGATGGTTTTTAAACTAGAAGGGCTAAAAAATATTATTTGTTTTAGTAATTCTTGAATATTACAGCAATTGTATTTTTCCTTCCGGTAGTAATAATAATAGCTTTGCCTTTGGAGACATAGTATAATCATTAAGAACTGCCCAGGCCTATATCCCAGTTTTGCTACTTAGGAGCTAAGTAACTCAGGCAAATACCTTAATCTGTCTGCCTCAGTTTTCTCACCTATAAATGGGGATAATAATAATACCTACTTCATAGGGTTTTTGTGAGGATTAAATCAATTAATATATATGGTACTTAGAACACTGTCCAGCATTTATTAATGTTCAATAAATGTTGCCTATTATAGCTTTATGTCTTCAGTGTCATTTAGTCTTCTGCAAATGGATAATAAACACCATAATTTTTTTAAGCACCATAATTTTTTTTTAGGGCGGGAGGGGCAGAGGGAGAGGGAAAGAGAATCTTAAGCAGGCTCCATGCCCATCGCAGAGCCTGATGTGGAGCTTGATCTCAAGACCAAGACCTTGACCTGAGATCATGACCTGAGCCAAAATCAAGAGTTGGACGCTTAACGACTGAGCTACCAAGGCACCCCGAGCACCATAATTTTTTATACAGAGTATAAATGGAACATTACTTTCTTATTCATTTAATTCTTCTGTCAGATAATTATTGAGCACCAACTATGTGTCAGATACTTTTCTAGATACTGGGTATAGAACAGTAAACAAAGCAGACTTACCAAACTTGAAATTTTAATAGGTTTCAGATGGTTTCTTTGATTGTTACAGCTTTGTGATAGTTGTAAATATTGGTCTTGTACTTACCCTTATTTTTGTTCTTACTTCAGTTTCATTCCTTACTATTTTGACTAGAACACCTAAAACTGGATTTAGAAAAGTAGATAGCCATTGGTTTAGAATTTCATTATTCATTTTAATGAAAATTAACTGACATATGTATTTTTAGGGGTATCTAACTACCAAGTTGAAGAAGATATAGGAAAGCTGAAGTCTTGTCTCACTGGCTTCCTTCAGGAAAATGGATTATCTGTAATGGTTAAAGATGACTATGTCCATGAATTGTGAGTATTTTTAGGGCATGGGAAAGATAATACCTGTCTTGTCATAAGGCTAATCTAAGTTCACGTCTCCCTCTCTTTCTGTAGTTGCCGATACGGAGCTGCTGAGCCACACACCATTGCTGCGTTCTTAGGGGGTGAGTTCCATAGATGAGAAGACTGGCATCTGTGGTAACACAGTACAGTTAAGAAGTTTGGTTTTCTGAGCTGTTTTAACTAGGGGAGTCAGTGAGGCAGGATATTGTGTTATTTAGATTATTTTACTGGTCTCTGCTTTTCATCTCCCACTACTGTCCATCTTAAAGTGAAGTGTCATTGATCTTCCTAAAGCGTAGCTCTGATCACGTCTCTCACTTAACTAACCCTCTGCCCTGGCAGTAACACATACACACTACAATGATCTTCAGAAAACAAGTCCAGAGTCCTTGATTTGACATTAAAAACACACCGTGTTCTGGTTCCACTCTACCTTTCTGGCCTTGGTTTTTTCAAGTTATTTCCTTTTCCTGGAGACATGCCCTATGATTTCCTGCTCCTACAATCCTTAACCCTCAGGGCCCATTTGCCATAAATCTCCCTATTTCTTGCATGTCTAAAATCTACCTGTTCTTCAAGGCCCAAATGAAAGTTAGCATCTCTTTCATAAAAACTCCCTGGAGGCTAGAAGTCCAAGGTCAGGGCCAGGGCAGTTGGTTTCTGGTGAGGCCTGTTTGTGGCTTGTAGGTGGCTACCATCTTGCTGTGTGCCATTATATAACCTTGTCTTTGTTCAGGGAGGACAGATGGGACACAAGCTCTCTGATGTCTTATGTGGGCACTAAACCCATCATGAGGGCCCTACCCCATGACCCTGTTTACCTCCCAAAGACCCCCATACCATCTTCATCTCCAAATACTATCACATTAGGTATTAAGGATTTAACATGAATTTTGAGGACATTTAGTCCATAACGTGTTCTATATTCTGCACAACAGTTATATTTCACTTCTTTCAGGTCTTTGTTAAAATGTTACCTTCTCTTTGTTAAAATGTTATATGAGGCCATTCCTGACTCCCCACTTTAAAACTGAGTCACTCCTCTTGCACTCATATATATCCCCCTTTCTTGCTTTTTCTCCTTAGCACTTAGAGTCATTTGACTTACGGTAAATTTTACTTACTTGTAAATTATCTCTCCCTTTCTACTAAAAAGTAAGATCCATGAGGGCAAGGATTTGTCTTTTGTTCTTTATCCCTAGTGCCTAGAAGAGTTTCTGGTACGTAATAGAGTCTCATATTTTATTGAATCAATGAATGTTTGTGAAAGATGAAGCTTCAGGGGTGCCTGGGTGGCTCAGTCGGTTAGGCGACTGCCTTCAGCTCGGGTCATGATCCCAGGGTCCTGGGATCGAGCCCCGCATCAGGCTCCCTGCTCAGCGGGGAGCCTGCTTCTCCCTCTCCCACTTCCCCTGCTTGTGTTCCTTCTCTCGCTGTCTCTCTCTTTCTGTCCATTAAAGAAAGAAAAAAAAAAAAAAGATGAAGCTTCATATTATAATAGATGAAGAATTTTTTTTTCCTCTGTAGTTTTGTTTTTTCTATTGTTTGCTTTGATTAGTTACTCAAAACTTCTTACTGTATAAGACTGTTACTGAGTATAGCAGCCTGGCGGTATTTAATATAGATTGTTTCCAAATTACAAATGTATTTAGAACAAATACACCTTTATTCCATTTTATTAAAGTAAAGTAGGCACAGGGTAAATGTAACATAAGGATCATCTTCGAGAATTTTTTTCTATTTGTATTTTTTATTTATTTATTTTATTTTTTTTAAAGATTTTATTTGACAGAGAGAGACACAGCGAGAGAGGGAACACAAGCAGGGGGAGTGGGAGAGGGAGAAGCAGAACTCCCCGCCGAGCAGGGAGCCCGATGCGGACTCGATCCCAGCACTCTGGGATCATGACCTGAGCCGAAGGCAGACACTTAACGACTGTGCCACCCAGGCGCCCCTATTTGTATTTTTTAAAAAGCGCTATCAACCATACTACTGTTTTGACTTGACTTAAAATACCATCAGCATTCGAAACCACCATAACACTTCATTCTTTTAAATTGTGGCATAATATCCCAAAGTGTGAATGTATAGGACAAAATTTGTTCCTGTAATAATATAGTTATAAAAAAATTGCAGTCCTTGATTTTGATGTGCTTCAGTAAGCTATGCCTGTTTTGGCTTATTTTTAAACGCTTTTGCTTTTGGAAATGAAAGGTTTTCTTTACAGAATTGGATATTTTTATATAACTTGAAATTTACCTTTTTCAAAGATTTGCTTTTCTCCTTTTTCCTTGCAGGAGCTGCTGCTCAGGAGGTTATCAAAATAATCACCAAACAATTTGTAATTTTTAATAATACTTACATTTATAGTGGCATGTCACAAACTTCAGCAACTTTCCAGTTGTAGAATAAGCATCCTATGTAGTGTGTTAATGATTTAAACTGTAATTGCCTTCAGGTTGTGCTCTAGTTTGTAAAATTCTAGGGAGAACTGTTAAATTGTTTCCTTAATAAACATTTTTCTCATTTGTAATAATGTAGTCTTGTTCTTTGTGGGGGAAAGAAGCAGTCGTTTTTCTGAGAATAAAAGCTATCCATTTTTTTTTTAGAATTTTAATTTATTTTATTTTAAGATTTTATTTATTCATTTGAGACACAGAGATACAGAGAGAGCATGAGCAGGGGGAGAGGCAAAGGGAGAAGCAGGCTCCCCGCTGAGCCAGGAGCCAGACATGGGGCTCGATCCCAGGACCCTGGGATCATGACCCGAGCAGAAGGCAGAGCTTAACCATCTGAGCCACCCAGATTCCCCAAAAGCTATCCATTTTTAATTGAGTTCATTATTTCTGGTTTGCTAATTCAAAGTTACTTATAAAAATCCCTTGTGGGGTGCCTGGCTGGCTCAGTCCTTACAGCATGCGACTCTTGATCTGTGGATTGTAGGTTCAAGGCCCACCTTGCATATAGAGATTACTTAAAAATAAAATCTTAAAAAAAAAAAAAATCTCTTGTGTTTCATTAAAAACAGTTTAAAATAGGTTTTTTTCTTACCCTCTTAAGCAATGAATTTAAGCCATGCATAGATTTTAGCTATGGACGTCTTAGGACCATCACGATTTGAAAAGACAAATATTTCACTGTATAGTTTTATTAGAAAGGACAGGAAGCTTGGGAGAGAGGAATAAGGCCAGGCTTGGTGCTCGTATGGCCTCTTAACCCATGTTGTGCCCTGCAGCCACAGTCCCAGAACCAGCTTCATCGTCCCAGAGCCTGCTCTCCTGACTCCTTGCTGCCAACGCCCCTCTCTGCGCAAAGAAAGCCCTAAAATCTGGGGGCGATGAGATCAGAGGATTTCCCGTTCAATTTGTGACTTTCCACCACTCAATGACACTGCATCCACCCGCTTCATACCCGGAACCCGCATTGGTGACGGGAGCTGCGGTCAGCGGAGAGAGACCGGGTGGGCGCAGCCGGAAGTCCCGCCCTACGGAAGTGGGCCCGACCCGTTGGGCGGGAAACCGAGTACGGCGTCGTTGTAGGCTGGCGGCGAGGGAGAAGGGGCGGAACCCCAGCGCGCTGCGACTTGAGGGTGAAGGTCACGGCCTCTGCTCCCCGCGCGTTCGGATCCTGCCCGGCTCCCGCCCGGAAACCGAGCTCTGGCCTCCTGTGGAAGGTGGGCTGCCGCTGGTAGGCCCGGGTCCGCCGTCACAGCGGCTGGGATGCGGGACGCCCGGCTCTTCCCCTTCCAACCCCCTGACGTGAGGGGGTGGATTGAGCCGGCAGGAACGGGCTTCCCTGAGGAGGCAGCAGACCCCGGCTGCAGTCCCCACAGCAGCTGGTGGCAGAAAGAGAATTGTCACGTACCATGTAGTCGGGCGTCTGGAGCCCGGCAGGTTCCGACCCTGATTGTACTTGAGAATCCTCGGGCCTCTCGCCGGGTGATTCGGGTTATGGGAGGGGTGGGAACCAGTGGTGAGGCCCTTTCTCAGACCGTGGGCCGGGCCGCGTGGGCCGCAGCCCTTGAGGGGCGCACCCGCTGCAGGTGAATCCCCCATGAAAGGCCGGGACTCGCGCCTTTAACCAGCATCCCGTCCTTGGCAGGAGTTGGAGAGCCCTGGCCTACGAAGAAGAGAGGGTCTGGGGAAGACCTCTGCTCTTCAAAAGGAGATCTCCGGGCTCTTTAGGTGAGCCAGGTCTTGGTGTTAATGAGGGAAACAGGGTGGAGGTAGATAGACTTCCCTCCTTGGAAAGATCGGGCATCGCCCGCCTGTGCAAACTGGGAAGAGGTGATGAGGATTAATGTGGAACAGCTGCTCCGATCTCCTGAGTCTGGGAATGTAAATGTAGTGTGAACTCACTCGTGGTACCCTCGCTTTTCTGCACCTGTTCTCAATCTATTTTAACTATTGTAAAAGCTAGTTTATTTGCATATTGGCCCTTTCTCCCTCGCTTCTCCTACTGTAAGGAAAATTTCCACAATGTATGAGTCCAAGCTGGGTATCCGCTGTCAAGAACTTAGTGATGGCAATTAATGGTGGGATTTTCAGCCTGCCAGCCTTATACAGGAAGATGCCATTTATCGTTCTGATATTTTGGGGGTAATATTTACATTTCAAAAAAGCTTTTCATGTTAACAGTTTCTAGGCCAAGGGAAAGAGTAATTTTCAGCTAGTTTTCTTGCTTAAATTTGAATTTAACAGCACTGTTTTGGAGAGTAGATTAAATTAAACCTGTAAGTGGGATGGTTTCTTCCTGTTACCTGGAAAAATCATTTCTCCCTCCTGTGAGAACACAGCAATTTTGAAATCTTGTTCATTACAATTTGCATCTTCACTAAATTACTGAAAACACTGTCTGCTTTATTGAACAGATACTTTTGTGTTGGGGAAGAGACTATATAATTTAAAATATAATTATATAAATATCAATTCCTTGAAAGTTATAGCCTGTCCTTTGCTGTGGATGTTTCTAAAGCATTTTGCTAGTAAATAGATGACTTGTATTAATGCTACAATGTAGTTGGAAAACTCTATTTTTTTGTGTGCAAAGTGACCATTTAATTGAAAAAAGTATAGGAAAGACAAAGGGGGAATAGAAGGTAGTGTATTTTGTCAGTTTCAGTTTCAAGATGTTTAGATTTTAAAGTTATATTCCTTTTTAAATAAAATCATATTTATTTATTTATTTTTTCAAACATTTTATTTATTTATTTGAGAGAGAGAATGAGAGACAGAGAGCATGAGAGGGAGGAGGGTCAGAGGGAGAAGCAGACTCCCCGCCGAGCAGGGAGCCCGATGTGGGACTCGATCCCGGGACTCCAGTATCATGACCTGAGCCGAGGGCAGTCGCTTAACCAACTGAGCCACCCAGGTGCCCCCTTTAAATAAAATCATATTTAAAGCAGAATAATTAATTCTGACTAATTAAAACTAAGGAAATAGTCCTTAAATTCCTTTACAAAGCAAAAATTTCCACATATGATATAGTAGTCCATTTTTATAAGTTTTTTTTTTATTTAGTCTTCCTTTTCCAAATCCTAACCCATTTGTTGAAAGGTAATGCATGTTTACATATGGGAGACAGTACAATAGAGGATAAGAGTGTAGGGGATGGCCTCAGATTTTCTTAGTGCCCATTCCAGCTCTGGCACATACTCTCTGTTTGAACTTGGGCAAATTATTTACCCTCTCCTCATCAGAATTCATTCCAATAGCTCCCTCTTAGGATTGTTGTAAAAACTAAAAAGATAATATTTATAAGGTTTACAGAACACAACCTTGCCTATGATAGGACTTGAATGTTAGAAGCTTTTATTATTATAAAAATTGTGAAAAATAGAAAAAAGTGGGATAAGACACCATAGAACCACCAGCTAAAGACAAGTGTTAATGTTGTTGTTTTCTATGTAGTTTTATTTTATGTTTGCCTCTACAAAATTGGGATCATGCTGTAGATAAAAGTTTGAGTTTTGTTCTTTTAGATTAATTGTAGCATAAGCATTTTGCCTTGTTATTAAACATTTGAAGCAAACATCAGTATTCTTGTTAACAGTATCCTGTGAATGTACCATAATGTACCTAACCATTCTTTTTTTTATTTAGTTTTTTTTAAAAATGTTATGTTAATCACCATACATTACATCATTATGGAATATCTAGGTTAAAAAAATGGCAAAACTGGTGTATATTTATATATTACCTTATAAAAGATTCTCACATTTATTATTTTTTTGTTTGGGAATTTTATTTCCATTCTGAGAATGAGAAAAAAATAGAAAGGATAAGTAGCTATCTCCCTTTAACCTTATAGTGTTGGAGTAAATAAGAATTCTAGAGTTCTGTGAGTCCTGATGACTCTAAGAAGTTAATCGGACTCTCAGAGATTTTTCTAAAAAATCAGTTTAGCATATGAGATGCCATATCAGGGTTGCTGGTTATTTTAAAAATTCTTCTAACAAGTGATACATAAACAAAGATTTTTAGCTTAAAAGAATACTATGTTGAAAAAAATGGGTTGTTAGAAAAATATTTTAATATTAAACTTAGCTTGTGTAGAGAAATGGAGTTCTTAAGTGTGTGTGTGTGTGTGTGTGTGTTTTAAATTTCTGATTCATGGAGGGGTGACCAATCAGAAATGATGGGATGAAAATTTACAGGAGAGAAAATAAGGAAGGAGTACCAGAAGAGGATCAGTTAGATTCAGTTAACCAACCATTTTTATGTTTATTTAATAAAATGTGTTGAATGCCTGTAGTACTTAAGAATGCCACGTGCGTTTATGTATGTTTTTAAATTTAATTCTTGTAACAACTTTATAAAGTAGGAATTTCCTATTTTGCAGATAAGGAAACAGCCTCAGAGAACTTAAATATAACCTTTATCACATATTCAATAAGTTGTAGATTCAGTCCCTGCTCTCTGGCTTCAGGAAAACTATTTTTCCCTGCCCCTTTGCATTTATAATTCTGGAATTCTCAAACATTGATTTAAATTGAGAGAATACCTTTATCTTATAGATGAAATATAAGGAAAAAGAATACAGACGAGTATGGAAAGTGAGGACACAAAGAAGATACAAGGTGAGAAATTAATGGATTATTTATCTGGTATTAATTTTATAATTTATTAGTGGGATATACTGCAGATTATCTGACAGGATCCAGGAAATGAGAGAATTACTCAGCAATTTACATACGTATTTATTGTGCATCTACCCTGCCTGTCACACTGACTTCAGGACACTGACATTCTAATGGGTAAAGGCATGCTGATAATTAGAATACTGTATAATAGCTGATTTAATAGAGGTATATACAAGAACAGTGGGAACCTGAGAGAACCACCACCAAAGTATACATGGAGGTACAGATTTCAGAGTTGTCCTTAGAAAGATAGAAATTATATCCATGGGCATGGAGGAGATTCATTAGAGAGGAAATATTAAAAAAAAAAAAAGGATGGGAAATAGTGTTCCTTAATGCACACCACGTAAGGTTTTGGCTGAGGAAGAGGGCTCTCAAAGACTGAGAAAAATATTTCAGAAAGGTGAATGGAAGTTTAGGAATGTGGAATTTTGGAAAACAGCCTTTGGAGAATACTTCATGAGAAAGATTGCTTGAGCTCATCAGTGTCAAATGTCCACAGATGACTGAATTATCCACTCGATTTTCTATTTAGGAGATCATTTGTTTTATTAACAGTAAATTTGATACATTTCAGCCAGGTTGCAGTATATTGACTTTTGGGTGGGAAATAAGGATCTGGAGACAGTATGAATACCTAACTCTTCTTTTTTTTTAAAGATTTTATTTATTTATTTGACAGAGAGAGACACAGCGAGGGAGGGAATACAAGCAGGGGGAGTGGAAGAGGGAGAAGCAGGCTTCCCGCTGAGCAGGGAGCCCGATCCGGGGCTCCATCCCAGGACCCTGGGATCATGACCTGAGCCGAAGGCAGACGCTTAACGACTGAGCCACCCAGGCGCCCCCCTAACTCTTCTTAAAAGCTTGACTGAAGATATATGGCAATAGGTAGAGGGAGACTGTAATGTTAAGGGAGCCTTGTAAGGGAGTAGAGACAAGAGAATATATGAAAAGGGAATGGAGATTCTGAAGAGGTAGAGGTTGAAGAGAACTGAAAAGAGAGGAGGGATAATTGTAGATGCTCCTCTCAGAACCTTTTTTACACTATGGGAATTATTCATATTTTTCTCGGTCTCCATCACCAGATTTTGAGTTCCTTGGAATCAGAATCCCCATCTGGTACAGAGTGGATGCATAGTAGACAGGCAATAAATATTTGTTAAATGAATAGATTTTTAAGGAAGTCATGGGCCTGTAATGGTGCCATTTGAGTTGCATGTGAGAGAAATCAAGTCAAACTAGTACAAGCAAGAAAGGAAATCTATCAGTTCATACCACTGGGAAACTCAGAGTTGTGAGGAAGAGTTCTCCAAAAAAAGCACAAAAAGGAGGGAAATCATTCTGGGCAGGAAAAAACCCCACCAAAGTATACTAGTTGTAGTCACTCTAGGGTCCCACAACACAGGTGAATGGATTAACCACGAAGAAGAAGGGCGCTAGATACCTGTTCTGATATTGTAGAGGAAGAGATAAGAATGAGTGTGGCTGTAAATATTTTGTAGGAATCCTGTGTTGTGGAAAGTGGGGAATTCTGTGAGGCCTAACATCTGTGTCTTTGAGGATTTATCTTGGCATTTGTAACCTGCTTTTGCCCAGAGAGCAAGGCAAGCCAGAGATGCCAGATAATTAATGGCCCTTTCCCTGGGAGCAGCCCTGAACAAATGACTGACTGGAATTGATGGACAAATACTCTTCACCCTTTGGTGGGGATATCTCTGAGACATGTGGCTCCACCCTGGCTCCCAGAGTTCCCTTGTGGAGTGAAGCTCCAGTTACCTTAATAATAACTTTCTTCTGTCTGCCTTCCTGTCCTGTGTCACTTTCTCAAAAAAGTACTTAACACTCAAATCCTTGTCTCTTGGTCTACTTCTGGGGAAACCCAATTAAAACAAAGTGGAAGAGGGGCCCCTGGGTGGCTCAGTTGGTTAAGTGTCTGCCTTCGGCTCCGGTCGTGATCTCAGGGTTCTGGGATCGAGTCCTGCATCGAACTCCCTGCTTAGCTGGGAGCCTGCTTCTCCCTCCCCCACTCCCCCTGCTTGTGTTCCCTCTCTTGCTGTGCCCCGCCCCCCATCTCTCCTCCCTGCTCGTGCTCTTTCTCTCTCTCTCACTCTCTCAAATAAATAAAATCATTAAAAAATAAAATAAAACAAAGTGGAAGAGAAGGAGATGTGGGACAGGGGTTGGAGGTTTAAAGATAGCTGAAGATTTGGAATAGCCATTGTGGAAAATGGCAGAGGAAGCAGAAGGGTGTGAGAGATAGAGCTGACCGTGGATGGGATTGCTGAATAAATTTGGGGGTTATAACTTGGAATGCATACCAAATATTTGTAATGGCATAATTGCTTGATTTTTTTTTTCTTTTAGCAATGCCCAAATTTGGGCTGAAAGAGCAGAGAAAGGAAAATGTTTTTGAGTCATGGTTAGGATTATAGGACATGTTTAGTAGAAGGACGGGGGTCAAAGTAATCTTAGCAAGATAATGGTTGAGGTGATGAATCATGGGATCTAGGATGAATAGGGAAGGAAATGAAACTAGAAGCCTCAGTGCAGGAGGAGTGAGCTTGTTTGGAGGTTCTAGCAGGGGAGCGCAGCTACTCGTATACCCTTGACCGAAGAACGGTCCTCCTCTATCGGGGAAGGTCGTCCTCTTCGACCGAGTGCGCAGCTTTGGGAGCGACGCACATGGAGCGGTGAGGGAGGAAGGGGACACCCGCCTAGCCAGCCAGATCAGCCGAATCAACCCTGGCGATCAATGGGGTGACAGATGTCGCAGTCAGATCGCCCTCACATCCTCAGTGCAGGAGGAGTAAAGGGATTATAGAGATCTTAGGTGTCAAGGAGTAAATATAAGAATAAGAAAGTAAGACAGTTGAAAGGATTAGGGATAATATTCCAAAAGTAAGATGATAGATTTGAAAATATTACTGATGGATCTGTTCTGACTAATGACAGGTTTCCAAAGTTTGGCCTTGGAAATGAATAGCCAGATTTACATGCAGTTTGAGATTTAGAAAAGAGAGACTGTCTCTTTCCTAGTATCCATATCAGTCACCCAAAAGAACTGAGATTGGGGTCACTTTGGTCATTTGGACAACTGCAAAGCATACCAGTAATTTGATTTTTTTTTTTTAAGACTTTATTTATTTGACAGAGAGAGACACAGTGAGAGAGGGAACACAAGCAGGGGGAGTGGGAGAGGAAGAAGCAGGCTTCCCGCCAAGCAGGGAGCCCGATGCAGGGCTCGATCCCAGGACCCTGGGATCACGACCTGAGCCAAAGGCAGACACTTAACAACTGAGCCACCCAGGCGCCCCCAGTAATTTGATTTTTGTATATAGAATAGCTTTATTAAAATATAATTGACATACCACACAATTCAACCATTTAAAGTATACAATTTAGTTGTTTTTAATATATTCACAGTGTTGTACAATCATCACAAACAATTTTAGTGCCTTTTTATCACCCCCAAAGCAACCCTGTACTCTTTTTTTTGTGTGAGTTTTATTTTTTTTTTAGTTTTTTTTATTGTCATGTTAATCCCCATACATTACATCATTAGTTTTAGATGCAGTGTTCCATGATTCATTGTTTGTGCATAACATCCAGTGCTCCATGCAGAATGTGCCCTCCTCAATACCCATCACCAGGCTAACCCATCCTCCCACCCCCCTCCCCTCTAGAACCCTCAGTTTGTTTTTCAGAGTCCATCGTCTCTCATGGTTCATTTACTCCTCCGATTTCCCCCCAACCCTGTACTCTTTAGCAGTCACACCTCCACCACCCGCCCCCAACTGTAGGAAACTGCTAATCTATTTTCTGTCTCTAGACTTGCCTATTCTGGACATATAAATTGAATCATACAATATGTGGGCTTTTGTGGCTGGTTTCTTTCACTTAGCATAGTATTATCAAGGATTATTCAAGTTTTATCAGTATCTTCATTCCTTTTTGTTGCCGAATAATATTCCATTGAATGGATATATCTTATTTTGTTTATGCATTCAAGAGGTGATGGAGATTTGGGTTTCCACTGTTTGGCAGTTATGAGTAATGTTGCTGTGAACATTCATGTACAAGTTTTTGTGTGACATGTTTTCATTTCTCTTGGGTATATATCTAGTAGTAGAATTATTGAGTCTGGTAAATTTATATTTAACCTTTTGAGGAATTGCTAGACTTTTTGCCAAAGTGGCTGTACCATTTTACGTTCCTACAGCAATGTATAAGGGTTCCATTTTCTTCAAATTCTTGGTAAACACAAATCTGTCTTTTTGATTATAGCCATACTAGTGGATTTGAAGTGGTGTTTTTTTTAACTATTTTTATTTAAGATTTTATTTATTTATTTGAGAGAGAGAGAATGAGAGCGGGGGGAGGGTCAGAGGGAGAAGCAGACTCCCTGCTGAGTGGGGAGCCTGATGCTGACTGGATCCCAGGACTTCAGGATCATGACCTGAGCTGAAGGCAGTTGCTTAACCAACAGGCGCCCCTGTGAAGTGGTATTTAATGTGGTTTGGGTTTCTATTTTCTTAATGACTAATGATGTTGAGCGTCTTTTCATATACTAACTGACCATTTGTGTATCTTTCTTGGAGAAATGTCTATATGCTTTTTACTTGGGTTATCTTTTTATTACTGAGTCTTAAGAGTTCTTTTTATTTTCTGAACACAAGCCCCTTATCAGATATCTGATTTGTAGATCTATTCTTCCCTTCTGTGAGTTGTCTTTTCACATTCTTGATATCTTTTGAAGCTCAAAAAATTTCAAATTTTAGGTCCAATTTATCCAATTTTCTTTTATAAATTGTGCTTCTATATTGTATATACTTGAGTTTTTGTTTTATTTTCTTCAGGAATGACTGAAGGAACTAGGTTGCATAGGCTGGAGAAGATAAAACTGAGTTATAGATGTTATTAGGTGCTTTGGGAAGGGAGGGATTATAATAGAAAATATCAAAGTAGGAGAAGGGTGTACAGGAGGGAATAGAAGAATACTTAAAGAAGTTTCTTGTTTTCTGCAGTTGTGCCTAGAATTGAAAATCAGCATGCCCCATCAAAAATCCTCTTTGGCTTGTTGTTATTGCTATCCATACAGTCAAACTAACCTTCTTACGGTCTCTATTAATGTAGAAAATGATCAATAAATGTTTGCTATTGCTTTAAGATAATTTAGTAATAACCTTTGTACTATGGTTTTTTACTAACAGATTGAATCATGAGTAATTTTATTGAACCAAATTGTCAGTTGAATTTCTTTTAAGAGGAGAACTAAATATTGATTGATAATAGATCTAAGTTTCTTTTAATGTGTTCCTCTATGTTTTTATGTTCTTTCTTCATCCTATATCTTTGAGAACTTTAAATTTAATTCAAACATTATGTCAAAATCTGCATACAATTTTATTTAAAACCAAGAGATGAAATTGTTAAAAGGTCGTAGTGAAAATTTTATAGGGAAATGATTGTCTTTCATTTTTAGTTGCAAATAAATATTTCAAGTTTATATTTTCGTAAGTTTTGACACACACATGTGTATATATGCAAACAGCACAATCAGGATAGGGAATATATCCTCATGCACCCTTATAATACTTCTTTTTGTCCCTTCCTGGACCCCTTTCCCCCAAGCAACCACTGATCTGCCTTCTGTTATTATAGTTTACATTTTTTTTCCAATACATGGAATAATACAGTATATATTCTTTTTTTGTGGTTTCTTTCAGTTTAATTATTTTGAGATTCCTCCATGTTGTTGCATATATCAATAGTTAACTCCTTTTTGTTGTTATACTTAGCCATAGTGTATGGTCATACCACAATTTATTTATCCATTCATCTGTTGATGGACATTTCAGTTGTTTTCAGTTTTTGGCTATTACATATAATGCTGCCATGAACATTTGTGTATAAGTCTTTGTATGGACCATACCTGCTTTTCTTGTAGATAAATTCTTAGGAGTGGAATGGCTGGATCAAATGGTAGGTGTATGTTTAACAATTTATGAAACTGCTGAGGGGTGCTTGGTTGGTTCAGTCGGTTAAGCATCTGCCTTTGGCTTAGGTCATGATCTCAGGGTCCTGGGATCAAGCCCTGTGTCAGGCTTCCTGCTCAGGGGAGAACCTGCTTCTCCCTCTCCCTCTGCCCCTCCCCTTGCTTGTGCTTGCTCTCTCTCAAATAAATAAATAAAATCTTAAAAAAAAAAAGAAAATGAAGTTTTAAATCTTGATGAAATACAGTTTATTCCTTATTTTTCTACAGATTGTGCTATTTGCATTGTGTCTAAAAAATTTTCACCTAAACCAAGGTTGCAAAGATTTTTTCCTGTGTTACCTCTTAAAAGTTTTATAGTTCCAATTTTACATTATGTCTGCAATCCCTTTTGAGTTAATTTTTGTATATGGTTTGATTCGAGTTTGGTTTGTTATGTTTTTGAACGTGGGTATCTAGTTGTTACACTACCATTTGTTGGAAAGACTATCCTTCTCTGCATTGCCATTGTAAAAAAATAAGCCTGTTGGGGTTACATTGAATTTATAGATCAAGTTGAGGAAGTCGACATTTTAACAATATTTAGTCCTCCAACCCATGAAAAAGGTGTTTTACTCCCTTTATTTCAATCTTCTTTAATATGTCTCCACAGTATTTTTTAAGTTTTAGTAGACATGTTGTTCACATCTTTTGTCAGATTTATCCCTAAGTATTTAATATTTTTGATACTATTATAAGCAGCATTGTTTGTTTGTTTTTTTTTTAAGTTGGCTCCAGGGGCACCTGGGTGGCTCAGTTGTTAAGCATCTGCCTTCGGCTCAGGTCATGATCCCAGGTTCCTGGGATTGAGCCACGCATCGGTCGCCCTGCTCCGCAGAGCCTGCTTCTCCCTCTCCCACTCCCCTTACTTGTGTTTCCTCTCTCTCTGTGTCTCTCCCTGTCAAAAAAATAATACATAAAATCTTAAAAAAATAATAAAAAAATAAAGTTGGCTCCATGCCCAAGGCAGAGGTCTAACTCATGACTGATGAGGTCATGACCTGAGCTGAGATCAAGAGTTGGATGCTCAACTGACTGAGCCACGCAGGCTCCCCATAAACGGCATTATTTTTCAATTTCAATTTTCAGTTACTTATTGCTGGTATATATAGAAATGTAATTAATTTCTGTATGTTAAATGGATATACTGAAACCTTACTATACTCAGTAGCTCTTTTGTAGATTCCACCAGATTATCTGTATAGAAGATCATGTTATACATGAAGGTAGATAGTTTTATTACTTCCTTCCTAATTTGAATGTCTTTTTTTTTTTTTAAAGATTTTATTTATTTATTTGAGACAGAGAGAATGAGAAAGAGAGAGCACATGAGAGGGGGGAGGGTCAGAGGCAGAAGCAGGCTCCCTGCCGAGGGGGGAGCCTGATGCGGGACTCGATCCAGGGACTCCAGGATCATGACCTGAGCCGAAGGCAGTCGCTTAACCAACTGAGCCACCCAGGCGCCCCTGAATGTTTTTTTTTCTCACCTGATGGCACTGGCTAAGCTCTCCAGTACAATGTTAAATGGAATGTTAAATAGAATGACATTGCCTAGACTCCCCAGTACAATGTTAAACATCTCTGTCTTGTTCCTGATCTCAGGGAGAAAGAATTCAGTCTTTCTCTGTTAAGTATTATGTTTACTGTAGGGCTTTTTTTTGTAGATATACTTTTTTAAATTGAGGAGGTTTTCTTCTAGTCCAAGTTTGCTGAGCTTTTTTTTTTTTTTTATCAGAAATGAATGTTGAATTTTATCAAATGCTTTTTCTGCATCTATTGAGATAACCATATGATTTTCCACGTTAGTTTGTCATATTACATCAATTGATTTTTCATATCTTAAGCCAACCCTGAATTTTAGGATAAACCCACTTGGTCATGATGTATTGCTACTTTAATATGTTTTTAGATTCAGTTTGCTAAAATTATTTAGACTTTTTACATGTATGTTCATGTGGGATATTGGTCTGTAGTTGTCTTTTTTTCCTTTCTAATGGCTTTGGTTTTGGTATTAGGGTAATGCTGGCCTCATAGAATAAGTTTGGAAGTATTCCTTCTCTCCAAACTTTTAGAAAAGTTTGTGTAGAATTGGTATTAATTCTTCCTTAAGCATTTGGAAGAGTTTACAAATGAAGCTATTTGAACCTAGAGTTTTCTTTACAAAAGGTTTTTAAAGTGTGATTTCAATTTCTTTCATAGATACAGGAATATTTAGGTTATCTGATTTCTTCTTGGGTGAGTTTAGATAATTTGTGTCTTTCTTTCTTTTTTTTTTTAAGATTTTATTTATTTGAGAGAGAAAGAGAGAGAGCGTGCCTGCACATCAGCAGGAAGAGGGAAAAGCAGGGGCAGAAGGAAAAGCAGACACCCCGCTAAGCAGGGAGATCCATATGGGGCTCTGTCCCAGGACCCTAGGATCATGACCTGAGCCAAAGGTAGAGGCTTAACCAACTGAGCCACCCAGGTGCCCAGTTTGTGTCTTTCTTAATGATTTTATTTTTTTAAGTAATCTCTATGCCCAATGTGGGGCTCGAATTTACAATCCCAAGATCAAGAGTTGCATACTTTACTGACTGAGCCAGCCAGGTGCCCCGAATTTGTGTCTTTCAAGCAATTTGTCCATTTCACCTAAGTCATTGAATCCATAGATAAGAAGTTATGCATAACTATTATTTATCTTTTGAATATAAATAGAATCTATGATGATGCCATCTCTCATTCTGGTATTGGTAATTTGTGTCTTTGCTCCTTTTCCCTCATCAGTTTATCTAGAGATTTATCAGTTTTACTGATCTTCTCAAAGAACCAGTTCTTTTTTCTGCTTTCAATCTCATTGATTTTTAGCTTTGATCTTTATTTCCTTCCTTCTACTTACTTTGGGTTTAATTTACTGTTTTTATAGTTTCTTAAGATGGAAGCTAAGGTCATTAATTCGAGACCTTTCTTCTTTTTTTTTTTTTAAGATTTTATTTATTTATTTGACAGAGAGAAAACACAAGCAGGGGGGAACGGCAGAGGGAGAGGAAGAAGCAGGCTCTCCACTGAGCAGGGAGCCTGATTTGGGACTCCATCCCAGGACCCTGGGATCATGATCTGAGCGGAAGGCAGATGCTTAACCGACTGAGCCACCCAGGCGCCCCAAGACCTTTCTTTTTTTATAATATAAGCATTTAGTATTGTAAATTTCCTCCCAAATACTGTTTTGGTAGCATCCCACAAGTTCTAATGTGTTGTATTTTCATTTTCATTCAGTTCATTTCTAAATGGCAGATGTTTAAACCAGTGTAGATGTATTTAAAGAAAATAATATTTGAATTTTGTATTCTATTTCATGCAAGGGGAAAATCTAATGGTTATAAGAATTTCATTTCAAGTTCTTTTATTTAAGGAACATCTTTTATATGTCTTTACTGTTTATAGATTATAAAAGGAATATATACTATTATTTTAAAAACAAACATTACAAAGATACATTTAGAAAGTGAAATTTAAATGGTTAGTTTTTGAAAAGAAACATTTGGTTTAAAAGAAAAAGAAATTTTTGTTCTTCAGAAATGAAGACTGACCTGAACTTATTATTGGAGTGCCTGAAGTATCAAATGGACAACCCTTTCTCACAAAAGGAAGCTTTGGTCACTATTCATTCAGTTTGTCAACAAAATAGTAAGACATGATACTGAATTTTTATCTGTGATTCTAGTTCTTTAGTATTGTGATATATGAAATATGCATAGTTCTTTCTCTTTGACTCAGTTACTCTGTATGCTTTGTTACAAAGTTCATGTGATTTATTTTCTCCTTAAAAGATTCATAATATCATTTGTTTTGTTTTTCTGTACACCCTATAGGTAATGCAGGTGTTTATTTTAGGGAAATTGGTGGTTTGATGTTTGTAAAAAATCTTGCAAAGTCAAGTGAACATAGCATGGTAAAAGAAGCAGCCTTATACACATTAGGAGCTGTTGCAGAACAAAATGGTAATATATGAAAACTTTTTTTCATTATCCTTCAAGCATTATGCTATATTTTAACAAACTACTAAAAAGTAATTTTAGAATTAAGTTCCTTTTTTACATGTCTGAATAGTTTTATCCAGTTATTTTATTTGTTTAAATTCATGCATGCCACTTGTTAACTAATGAAGGAACCAGTAAAATAAGACAACTGTTTCAAAGGCAATGACAAAAAAACAACATAGGCGTTACGGAATGCTAAAATAGATTTGTACGTAGGCATATAACTGGTCAGTATCTGCAGGGCAATAATCAGTTGCGTTCTACTAGCCAAAATGTTTTGTATTTCTATGATCAAGAGTAACCTAGGGCACCTGGGTGGTGCAGTTGGTTAAGCGTCTGACTCTTGGTTTCGGCTCAGGTTGTGATCTCAGGGTTGTGAGACTGAGCCCTGCGTGGGGCTCTGTGTGAGATTCTCTCTCCCTCTTCCTCCGCCCCTCCTGCTCATGTGCTCATGTGCATGCACTCTCTCTCTCAAAATAAATAAATAAATATTTTTTAAAGGATGACTTGGATTACTGTCAATTTTCTACAATTTACAAAGATGTAAAATAGCCCAAAGACAGTGAAAGACACAGATAATGTAGAAGGGTGTGCTAGATGGGACATTCAGTAATCATTTCAAAATCTTTCACAATTTTTCTTGCTGTTAGTCGGAAACATTTGTTTCACTTTGTCTTCTTTGCTTATCTTTTTTTTGTCATGCAAAAGTTTATTTTTACAAAAATAAAATTCAACATTCTTTCCCCTTTTTGCTTCTGGATTTTGAGTCATAGGAAAGTTTTCCATACTCTTAAGGTTCTAGGGGAATCCACCCACATTGACTTTTGGTCCTAGTATGGTTTTATTTTTTACGTTTACATTTTCCTTTTTGAATTCCTTTTGAATATCCTGGGGTATGGCATGATATATGCTCCAGTTTCATCTTTTTTATGTGGCAATCCAGCTATTCTAACACTTCTTATTAAAAAGATCTTTTTCATGTTGATTTGAGATGCTATTAGGGCTTCATGAATTTGCATATGTGGTGGGTCTATCTCTGGTTTTTCTATTACGTTCATTCTCTATATAACTAGGTAGTTGAGTCAAAAAACAAAGATAACCTACAGCATCTTGTATATAGATAAATATACTCTGGGTATAGAAATTCATGTTGGTAAAAACATTTTCCTGTATTATACCCAAAATGAAGTTGAATCTCAAGTACTGGTTTGTCAAACAACTTTCTATTCTTAAAGTTTCATTTTTTTTTAATGCGGGGCTTGAACTTGACCCTGAGATCAAGACCTGAGCTGAGATCAAAAGTCAAATAGCTTAGCCAATTGAGCCACCCAGATGCCGCTTAAATTTTCATCCATAAATATTTCTTCATCATTTGGTAGGAACCAAGCTGTGTGCTAGTCATTGGGATAAATCAGACACTGTCCTTTGCTTGAGAGAAAGTCTAATAGCTGGTTCTAAATACTGGATAAAATACAAATTATATCTCTGTGTTCAAATTATTATTTTTAAAAATTTTATTTTTTAAGTTTATTTTTTTTTTAGTAATCTGTACACCCAATGTAGGGCTCAAACTCATCACCCCTAAGATCAAGAGTCACATGCTCTTCTGACTGAGCCAGCCACATGCCCTCTTAAATTATTTTTAAAAAATTCTGTTTATTGTATTATTATCACACACACACACACACACATGCACACATACACACACACACAACCCTACTGTCAGGTATCATTTTTGCTTTTTGGAAAAATATTTTTATTTCTAGAAAGTTTTTAAAAAATAGCACAAGTATCATTTGTCTATCTAAAACAGGTTTCTGAATTTTTTAAAATTTTTCTCTTGGGGCGCCTGGGTGGCTCAGTCGTTAAGCGTCTGCCTTCGGCTCAGGTCATGATCCCAGGGTCCTGGGATCGAGCCCCGCATCGGGCTTCCTGCTGAGCAGGAAGCCTGCTTCTCCCTCTCCTACTCCCCCTGCTTGTGTTCCCTCTCTTGCTATCTCTCTCTCTGTCAAATAAATAAATAAAATCTTTAAAAAAAAATTTTTTTTTCTCTTGCTATCTTTTGTTACTTACTCATCCTCTTAAAATTTTTTTCATATTTTTTTGTTTAGTTAGGTTTGGGGTTTTGTTTTTTAAAGATTTTATTTATTTATTTGCCAGAGAGAGAGAGAGCGAGAAAGAGAGCGATCAAGCACAAGCAGGGGGAGCGGCAGGCAGAGGGAGAAGCAGGCTCCCCACTGAGCAAGGATCCCAATGTGGGACTCGATCCCAGTATCCTGGGATCATGACCTGAGCCGAAGGCAGATGCTTAACCGACTGAGCCACCCAGGCGTCCCTAGTTAGGTTTTTATTAGAAGTTCTAGGAGATTTTGTACATGTTTTAGAGCCTCAGTCAAGTACTTCTGATTAAGGTACTGCTTTTTCAGTCTGCTAATTGAGTAAGCACATAGCAATTTTTCAGAAATTTTGTTGCATGACTAATAAATGTCAATGAAATGAGATCTGGTTGAGAACCATCTGTTTGGCAACTTTATATTTTGTTCAGCATATTTTAAGACTTAGGCTAATGCATAGAAATTGCAATTATATTTTTATTTTTCAGTTTACTGTCAGCAGTCTTTGTGCACTTCAGAATTATTTGAAGACTTAACTTGGTTCTTATCTAATGATGATTCAAACACAAATTTGAAAAGAATGTCTGTCTATGTTATTTTGGTTCTAGTTTCAAATAATAGTAAGTACATTCTTTCGTGGTGTAGAAACATTTAAAAAAATTATAAATTGAAATAGTCTTTGTTCTTTTTATTCTAGTCTTTATATTAGTGTCTTTTTTTTTTTAAGTAGGCTCTACATCTAGCGTGGAGCCCAATGCAGGGCTTGAACTCACAACCCTGAGATCAAGACCTGAGCTGAGATCAAGAGTCGGACACTTAACCGACTGAGCCACCCAGGCACCCCTATATCAGTGTCTTTTTAAAAAATCTTACTAACTTCTGAGAACTACTGGCTTTAAAGAAAAGAGAATCACATATATTTAATTGTTTGATATTTATTAATTATAAAAAATAGTAAAGTGATTTGTGTTATTTAAATAACATTGAAAAGGAGCAGCTTTAAAAGCAAAAGAGGCATTTGATGATTAGTTTGGTTGATTTTCCACTGAATTAGCCATTTAGTTACAGTGTTTATTATATCAGCTAACAATGACCTTAAATTTCATGTAGCTCTTAGCTAAAATTTATTTCAGTTTTGGAGGAAATTTGAATGCTGTCTTTTTCTGGGCATAGGTAGTGTATAACCCCGATTACAGATTTTTATCTATTGCAATACTTTAAAGTGATTACAAGTTATTTATTAAAAATACTAGTTAAATGTTTTTCATTTCTGCAAAATTACTTATAAACAGAAGTCCTATTTGTGTATTATATGTCTGTTTTTTTAAGGGACTGGACAAACACTTGTAAGAGAAACAGGTTGTATTACAGTTCTGACACAGTTGTTCAGGTAAGAAAATACAAATCTTTTGTTGTTATTCATTACTTAAGACTTTAACACATTTGTTTTAATTTGCTTCTTCCTTTTTTTTTTTAACCAAATAGGACTGTTCTTTCAAAATACGAGTTGAATTTGTCGGATAAAGATGCATTCCAGAGCTATCAGTTATGGTCTTCAGTGTGTAGTACTTTGTGCGTCTGTGTCAACAATCCTCAAAATGGTAATATCTCAAATATTTAAATATAAAAATAAAATAAAAACAAATGAACTGATATTTTCCAAATATATTAAAACATGATTGACTTTGTCTCCTTTCAGATGAAAATCAAATGCTTTGCTGTTCACTTTTTCCACATGCCAATGACTGGCTAATAAATTGTATCAAACCTGAGATAATTCGCCCTGTTTGCTCATTTATTGGACTCACTCTTGCAAATAACAGTAAGTATTCATTATTCTCTAGTTTTACTTGAAGAAACATAGTTCAAAACATAACAAAAATCTACTGAGTTAATTATGGAGTTAATTGAATTAATGAAATAATTTTATTACAGTAAGTTGGGTTGTTTTGGTTGCATTTAGACTATTACAGATAGGAAAATCTTGAAAGTAGACATCGTTAGGAAGATAGTAAGAAAGATGGAGGTAACAGCATAGTTTTGAATCTCCCCAGAGACCCTCATGAAACAGAGCAACTAGATAGCAAAACTAAAGCCCCACACAGTATATTCTCTGATCACACGTAATTAAATTAGAAATGAATAAAAATAAAACATCTAGAAAAGTCCCAAATATCTGAAAATTACTCAGTGCTAAAAAAGAGACTAAAAAAAACCCCTACAAACCCATGAGTAAAAGAGTAAGTCACAGGGCGCCTGGGTGGCTCAGTCGTTAAACGTCTGCCTTCGGCTCAGGTCATGATCCCAGGGTCCTGGGATTGAGCCCCACATCGGGCTCCCTGTACCGCGGGAAGCCTGCTTCTCCCTCTCCCACTCCCCCTGCTTGTGTTCCCTTTCTCGCTGTATCTCTCTGTCAGATAAATAAAATCTTTTTTTTTTAAAAAGAGTAAGTCATGAAGAAATTAGAAATGTTTTTAACTGAATGATAATGAAAGCACAACATTAAAAAACTGGGTTGCTAAAAATAAATAAATGAATGAATAAAAAATAAAAGCTGGGTTGCTGCAAAAACATTCTGAAAGCAGTGTTTGGAGGGAAATTTATAGCACTACAGTTTGTATAAGGAAAGAAGAAAGCTCTCAATCAATTATATTAGTTTCCACCTAAGAAACTAGAAAATAAATCAAGTTAAACTCAGAGGAAAGAAGGAAATAATAAAGAGAAGGTAAGAAATCAATGCAATAGAAAAATAACAGAATAGGGAAAAATCAATGAAACCAGAGCTAGTTCTTTAAAAAGATCAATGAAATGGTGGATCCTTTAGCCAGACTAACCACAAAATAAAAAGAGAGGGCCCAAATTACTAATATCAGGAATAAGAAGTGACATCACTCTAGATCCGAACAGATATTAAAAGGATATTTTCCTTTTAATCAAACAACTTTATAATCAAAGGAATAATCAAAACAACTTTATGCCACTAGATTTGACAACTTACATGAATTGGATAAATTCTTTGAAAGGCACCAACCACCAAAGCTCACTCAGAAGAAATAGATAACCTGAATATTATTATATATATTAAAGAAATTGAATTTGTAGTTGAAAACCTAAAACAGGAATTTCCAGGCCCTGATGGCTTCACTGGTGAATTATGACAAACATTTAAGGAAAATAAATTCTACATAAATTGCCAGGAAATGGAAGTGGAAGAAACACTTCCCAACACATTTTGATGTTTTTATTTTATTTTATTTTATTTTATTTTATTATTTTATTTAAGTAATCTTCATGCCCAACATGGGGCTTGAACTCACGACTCAAGAACAAGAGTTCCATGCTCTACTGACTGAGCCAGCCAGGCGCCCCTTTGCCCATACATTTTAGATCAGCATTATTCCCATACTAAAACTTGAAAAAGACTTTACAAGAAAACTGTACGTCAATATCCTTTATGAATATAGATGCAAACATCCTTAGCAAAACATTAACAAATCAGGGGTTCCTGGCTGGCTCAGTCTGTAGAGCATGTGGCTCTTGATCTTGGGGTCATGAGTTCAAGCCCCATGTTGGGTTCAGAGCTTACTTAAAGAAATTTTTAAAAAGTTATAATTAAAATTTTAAAAAATATTAACAAATCAAATCCAGCAATATACAGAAAGGATAATATATTATGACCAAGTGACATTTATCCTAGGAATGCAAGATTGGTTGAACATTGGAAAATTCACCATATTCACAGGTTATGACAGAAAAGAAAAACTATACAGTCTGAAAGGATGCAAGGAAAGCTTTTCGCGTAGTTCAACATACATTTGTGACAAAAGCTTTTGGTAAACTAGGAATAGATAGAACTTCTCAGTGTGATAGAGGGCCTCTACAAAACACAGTTAACATAGTCAATGATGAAAGACTTAATGTGCTCTCCACCAACCCCAAGATTGGAAAAAAATAAGGATGGCCACTCTCAATGCTTTAACATTTTACTGGGTGTTCAGGTCGGTGAAATAAGACAAGAAAATAAAAGGCATAGAGATTGAAAAGGAAAAGAAAATACAGTATTTATTAATACGTGACGTGATTGAAGAATCTACAATAAAGCTACAAGAATGAATAAATGATTTTAGCAAGGTTGCAGGATACAGGGTCATATACAGAAATCAACTGTATTTCTATGTAGTAGCAACAAGCAATCGGGAACTTAAACTATCGTTTATAATCATATCAAAAAACTACTTAGGGATATATTTAATGAAATATGTGCAATGTCTATATGCTGAAAACTATGAAACATTGCTGAGGTAAAGAAAACCTAAATAAATGGGAGATATATTACACTCATGGATTGTAAGACTCAGTAGTATTAGAATGTCACTTTGCAAATTCATCTCTTGATTCAAGGCATTCCCATCAAAATACCAGCAGGCATTGCTGTAGAAATTGACAGGCTGATTCTAAATTTACATGGAAATGCAAAGGGGCGAGGATAGTCAAAACTGTTTTGAAAAAGGTCAAAATTATGGGATTTATATTACTTGATTTCAATACTTATCATACAGTAATCAAGAAAGTGTGGCATTAGTTTAAGTGTAGACATACTAGATCAATGGAACAAAATAGAGAATCCAGAAATAGACCCACACATATATAGTCGCTGGTTTTCTAAAATAGTGCCATAACAATTCCATGTGGGAATTTGTCTTTTCAACAAATGCTTCTGGAAAGAGTGGATATCTGTACATATAATATGAATCTCAACCCTAATTTTATACTGTTTGTAAAAATTAACCTGAAGTGATCCACAGACCTAAGTGTAAGAACTAAAACTGTAAAATTCTAGACAAAAACATAGGAGCAAATCTTCATAATTTGGGAGAAGACAAAGATTTCTTAGGACACAAAAAGTATGAGCTACTAAGGAAAAAATGAGAAATTGGACTTCAGTGAAATTGAAAGCTTTAACTCTTCAAAAGACCATGTTAAAATGAAAAGGAAAACCATAGACTGGAAGAAAATATTTGTGAAATGTACATCTGACAAAGAACTTGTACCCAAAATATATAGAGAACTCCTACAAATTGGTAGGACAAAAAACAACCTAATGATTAAAAAAATGGGCAAGATTTGGACAAATACTTCACCAAAGAAGATACAAGTATTAAATTGTAAATAAGTAATGAGAAAGTTTTTGAAAAGCTACTCAAAATCATTGGTCATCAGAGAAATCCAAACTAAAACCCCAGGGATACCACTACACACTCACACCATGCCTAAAAGCAGAAAGGCTAGTAATATTAAACATTGATGAGGACATGGAGCAACTAGAACTTTCTCACACATTGTTGGTGTGTACCTATATTCATGTATTTAAAGCAAATAGTCATGTTTCACGTGCAAAGGAACATATCTCTATAATTCCAAAATTGTATTCTCTTTCCATGATGCTTTGACATTTCCTTTTTCTCTAAAAGTCAACTTGAAATAGTAATAATTTTAGGACCTCATTACTCTTAGCAAACTCGTATGAAATAAGAGATTAGATAAAATTTGAAATACTCAGTGTACAAGTGTAGACTAGGATGTTCTTATGCTTATAAGCCTGAATTTTTATTACATAGGCTATTACTAGAAAATGTGGTAACACAGTGCCATTTTTATCTAAACATTTAAAGATATTTCTTTTTTTCTTTAAAGATTTTGTTTATTTATTTGAGAGAGAGAATGAGAGAGAGAGAGCAGGAGAGGGGGGAGGGTCAGAGGGAGAAGCAGACTCCCTGCCGAGCAGGGAGCCCGATGCGGGACTCGATCCTGTGATTCCAGGATCATGACCTGAGCCGAAGGCAGTCGCTTAACCAACTGAGCCACCCAGGCGCCCAAGATATTTCTTTTTCAAGAGGTTTTTGTTTTGTTTTGTTTTTTAATGAAAATACTTCGCAGAAAAGAAACCTGTTTTGGAGTCTCCATAATATTGAAAATGCTTGCTTATCCTTCAGTAACATTTCCTAACACCTCCTTTCCCAGATGTAGAAAATTCTGAAACTGATATTTTTTTAAATACATATTTTTTATTTATTTATTTTTAAAGATTTTATTTATTTATTTGACACACAGAGAGAGACAGCTAGAGAGGGAATACAAGCAGGGGGAGCGGGAGAGGGAGAAGCAGGCTTTTGACAGAGCAGGGAGCCCAATGCAGGGCTCGATCCCAGGACCCTGGGATCATGACCTGAGCCAAAGGCAGATGCTTAACGACTAAGCCACCCAGGCGCCCCAGTACATATTTTTTAAATATTTATTTACTTGAGAGAGAGAAAGAATATGAGCAGGAGGGGCAAAGGGGGAGGAGAGAGAATCCCAAGCAGACTCTGCACTGAGCCTGGAGCCTGACACAGGGCTTGCTCTTACAGCCCTGAGATCATGACCTGAGCTGAAACCAGTAGTCAGAGGCTTAACCTACCACGCCACCCAGGTGTCCCTGAACTTGATGTTTTTTTTTTTTCTTTAGATTAAGATCTTTGTGTTTTATCAAACAGTATAAAAAGTAATTTTTTCATTTAAATCATCTTTGCTCAGGGGACCTGGGTGGCTCAGTTGGTTAAGTGCCTGCCTTTGGCTCAGGTCATGATCCTGGAGTCCCTGGATCAAGTCCTGCATCAGGCCCCCTACTAGGTGGAGAGCCTGCTTCTCCCTCTATCCCTCATCCCACTTGTGCTCTTTCTCTCACTCTCTCTCAAATAAATAAATCTTAAAAAAAATAATCTTGGTTCAATTTGTGATGCTAGGGTAGACTGGAAAGAAGATTTGTGGCAGAATTATATCCATTTGTTATAAACCCACTGCTTATATAGGGGCTGTGAAGACTATAGAATGCACAGACCCATGGGATACTTTCCCATCAGAATCCTTTTCAACAGTGGAACAAGACACTTCAGACTTTTTAAAAAAAATGTATTTTTCACTGAGTATTTTTTGGAATAGTTGTTATGTCTCTCAGTAATATGTTATAATTTTATGTTCTAAGAAGTAAAAGATTTAGGCTTAAATAAGATGGAGAAAATATGTGTTCCTTTGGAATAATTACTTTGCCCTTTGTAGATTCAAGCAATCTAAGGAATGAGTTATGTTGGAATTCAGAAAATAGGCAGCTTGCTAATTGCAATACCAAGCTAAATGAATGAATCTATTCTTCATAGCTCTATTGAAAGACTTCGAGTTTACTAATGTCATTCTTGCAAAATATACCAGTTCTTGCTAAATGAAACAAAAAACATATCTAACAGGAAACACTGTACTGTATATGTAGTTGTTCTATGTAAAAGTTTGTTTCTTACCTAAGCAAATGACCCATTTTATGATTATATGTATGCACAGGTAAAGATTGGATTTTTCATTCTTTAATTTTGGGATTTTTAGTGTTTGAAAAAGTCATGTGAATGTCATATTTAGTGCAAATTAATTGAATGGAACCATACACTTTTCTTGTTTGAGGTATTAATAGTTTTGCTGCTTTATTCCTTAAGCATATGTTCAGAAATACTTTATATCTGTGGGTGGACTGGATGTATTGTCTCAAGTTCTGGTGCAACTGGAATCAGATTCACACAAGACTCTTTCCAGTGCTAAGCTTGCAGTGGTGGTGACAAAGACAGTGGATGCGTGTATTGCTGATAATCGTGAGTGAACATGCTTAGTAATTTTTCTACAGTTGAGTTTTATTTGAATTCAGCATGGTGAGTGTTGAAATGATAGATTGAACACAAACATAGATTGGACTTTCAGTGTCTCACAAGCAGGAGGGGATCTTAAAAATTATCTGGTCCAACTCCTTGTTTTCATGTGGAGATTATGACTTCCCTCAGGGTTCAAATCGAGGTCTTCTGACTTTAAGTCTACTGATAGAACAAGATAAGATTCTGTCATTTCTAAACCTTTGTTTCACTGAAAAAGCAGTATTAAATGAAAAACTTTAGATGAGAAATGAAGGGACATCTTGGAAACATAAGCAATGGAAAACCCAATTTATAGATTTTTAAAAATTATATGAAGAATTAAGGTATGCCTTTTTCTGATAAGTATGAAGTCTGACTCACCCAGCCATAACCAGGGATTAATGAGGGCTCTATAAGCCATTATCTTATTACAATACATTTATTTATATTCACACATACATAAACATATGTATGAGATATGAATATTAGCTATTATATTGATATGGTATTGTTCTCCCAGGATAAGATCTGACAAATAGCATATGTATAGTTTCAAGTTTTAAATTTATACTTTTTTCCCCCTATTTTATACTAATAGCTACTTTTGGAATAATACTATCCAAGTATCAGATTGTTTCAAAACTTCTGACATTACTGCTTCATGAAGGTCTGGATTCAGGAGAAAAATTTAGCATTATACTTACTCTTGGTCATTGCACAGAGGATTGTGGTTAGTATTGAATTTATTTTTTTAAAGGTTTTATTTATTTATTTGACAGAGAGAAACACAGCGAGAGAGGGAACACAAGTGGGGGAGTGGGATAGGGAGAAGCAGGCTTCCCGTGGAGCAGGGAGCCCAATGCGGAGCTCGATACCAGGACCCTGGGATCATGACCTGAGCCAAAGGCAGATGCTTAACGACTGAGCCACACAGGCGCCCCTAGTATTGAATTATTTATGCTTATTAAAATAGTGGAGTGGAAATCCACTTTTGGTTTTTTCCTTATTTTCATATGAGAGGCTTGAAAGTACTGCCTTTCTTTAAGTCATTCAGGCCCCAAACCAGTCATTTTGCTCCTCATCCTCCTTCATCCATAGCCCTCCTTATCCCTTTCTGCCCAGTTCCAGTTTAGGCCCTCAGCCCCTCAACATCTTTCACCAATGTAATTGGACTAGATTCCTCCTTGTGTTCCTCTTCTCCTATCTCCATTTTTTTTTTTTTTTTTTTTTTAGAGGGAGAGGAAAGGGAGAGGGAGAGAGAGAATCTTAAGCAGGCTCCATGCTGTGGGGCTCCATTTCACAACCCTGAGATCATGACCTGATCCCAAATCAAGGGTTGGACGCTTAACTGAGTCACCCAGGTGCTCTGGATTTATTCTACCGTTTAAATTTTTTATTTTTATTTTTTATTGAGGTTTAATCTGACAACTATACTTTTTTTATTTTCAATGATACCTTTTTTTAAACTAGGTGAGGGCTGTTTTTTTACTCTTAATGAGGTATGACTACTCTGTGGCTATATTTCAGAGATCATCACTTATGAGACAGGTATTTTATGTCAGAAGATTATTTCCTAAATGGAAAATACTTCTGAAACTATTTTTTATTCTAAAGATTTAAACTGTGATCATAATGATCACAAAGAAGAATTATGACCTTATGCAGATATTTTATGAAAAAATAACTATAACTATTTTCTACTTTCATTTTGGTATGTTTTCCAGAGGAAAATCAGTATGATCTTTTTAAAAACAATGGGCTTCCACTCATGATACAAGCCTTAACCGAATCGCAGAATGAGGAACTAAACAAAGCTGCCACTTTTGTGCTTCACAATTGCAAAAAAATTAGTAAGTTTCTTGTTACTTAAAAAAATACCAAAGTTTATGAAGGGGAATTTATATCTGCTTTGATGAGCCAAGCCCTTTAGGTTCCCAGGTGCTTCTTAATTTGAGAAGCAGAGTATATAATTTGGACATGACAACAAGAGTATTTCAGCATTTCAACCTATCTGGAAGAGAGCAGCAATATAGATAATTCACTTATTTTATGCAATGTGGACAGTTTAGTTGTAGGACTTAAATTTGAGGCCTACAGGTGACTTATGGTTAAATTATAATATAAAGTGCATTTGTTTATTTATTTATTTTATTTTTTAAAGATTTTATTTATTTGCTAGAGAGAGACACAGTGAGAGAGGGAACACAAGCAGGGGGAGTGAGAGAGGGAGAAGCAGGCTTCCCGGGAGCAGGGAGCCCAATGCGGGGCTCGATCCCAGGACCCCGGGATCACGACCCGAGCCGAAGGCAGACACTTAACGACTGAGCCACCCAGGTGCCGCTTGTTTATTTATTTAAAAAAATGTTCGAGTGCCTATTATTTGCAGGCACTGTGCTAGTTTTAGGGATACAGTCTGCACCCTAGAGCTTTGTTTAACTAGATAAATAGTCCTTGAATAATCTCAAAAATGAATGAATTGTTATATGTTAACTGAAGGGTTAGGAATGGATGGAGCATAGATCTTAGCATATAACAAAAGACTGTGACCTAGACTTGGAGCGGAAAAGGCTTCGGAGGAAGTGATTCTTTTTTTTTTTTTTTTTTCTTTTTTCCATTAGACATTCTTTTTTTTTTTCTCTCTCTATTTATTTATTTTTTGATGTAGTGTTCCATGATTCATTGTTTGCATATAACACCCAGTGCTCCATTCAATACGTGCCCTGTTTAATACCCATCACCAGGCTAACCCATCCCCCCACCCCTTCCCCTCTAGAACCCTCAGTTTGTTTCTCAGAGTCTATAGTCTGTCATGGTTTGTCTCCCCCTCCGATTCCCCCCCTTCATTTTTCCCTTGCTACTTTTTTTTTTTTTAACATATAATGTATTATTTGTCGGAGGAAGTGATTCTTGAGCTGAGATCTGAATGTATAGTGTTAACTAGGTCAGCCATAAGCAATGGTGAGGCACAAAGACCCTATGATAGGAGGGAGCATGTATGGAAGAAATGATGGCCATTGAATTGGTCTTTGTGGAAGAAGAGTTGCTGCTGAAATATGTAAAAAGTAAACTTAAAAGATTAAAGGAAAGAACTGCATTATGAAAACTTTAAAAAAAAAAAAAAAAAACCTAAAACTGGTATCCACATACTTGGGGATGTTTATGTGCCTGGCATAATGTATTTTCATGATGTTCTTTCTCCTATACTCCTCTGATAGAGTAAAGTCTAACTTATGACTGGGGCTTGGGCTTCTGCCAAGTACTTGCTTTCCATTTATTTTCAGTACCACCTAGACAAATAAGATAGTCTGCATGGGCAAAATTTAGAGAAGAGGGTGTGGGGTATGAAGTAGTCCTTATTTAAAGTGTTAAAATTATATTTAAAGTGTAAAAAAAAACAGTTCTAGTAATGGATAAATTCATTATTTTTCCCATATTACAAAGCTGAGAAATTATCTCTAAGTCTAGGAGAATACTCTTTTGATGAAAATGAAGAACAATTGAAAGACGTAAATATGAAAGAGAAGAGCCTTGAAGAGTACTGGAAGAAAGCAAAGGAAATTCTACACAGAATAGAACAGCTTGAAAGAGAAAGAAATGAGGTTGGCCTTTTTGTTTCAAGGAATATAGAACTTTTTTCAAGTATTTTTCTACAGTAGAGGTTGGAGGGTAAAAGATTTTTCTTGCTAAGCTATTTTTTATATTTCAATGTTTTTTTAAAAAGATTTATTCTAGTGAGAGAAAGAGAGTGAGCTTGTGAGTGGGGGGAGGGGCAGAGGGAGAGGGAGAATCTCAAGCAGACTCCCAACTGAGCTTGGAGCCTGACACAGGGCTCAATCCTTTACCCAGGAGATCATGACCTGAATTAAAATCAAGTCTTATGCTTAACCGACTGAGCCACCCAGGTGCCCCAGATTTTAATGGTTTCAAATTTAAAATTCAGTTGATACTTGAGTAACCATCTTAGAACATAGGGAAAAAAAGATTTTTAAAAGGTGGAAATGATGACTGAAAAAATAAGAGACATGGAAGATAGAGATCTAACGTTTGCATAATAAGAATTAGAAAAAGGATGGAGGGTTGCCTGGGTGGCTCAGTCGTTAAGCATCTGCCTTTGGCTCGGGTTGGGGTCCTGGGATCGAGCCCCGCATCGGGCTCCCTGCTCGACGGGGAGCCTGCTTCTCCCTCTCCCACTCCCCCTGCTTGTGTTCCCTCTCTCACTGTATCTCTCTCTGTCAAATAAATAAAATCAAAAAAAAAAAAAGAAAGAAAAAAGAAAAAGGATGGAGAAATAATAATCCCTCTCTTTACATATATGTATATGTATGTGTATATGCACATTTCACTATTTTTTCTGTGAATGTACGCTTTGTGTCTTTGTATGTGCATGCATTTTTACTTTTATTTTTTAAGTAGGCTCCAAGCCCACTGTGGAGCCCAACACAGGGCTTGAACTCATGACCCTGAGATCAAGACCTGAACTGAGGTCAAGAGTTGGATGCTCAACTGACTGAGCCACCGAGGCACCCCTGTGCATGCATTTATAAAAATAAAAGCATAGTGCTCAACTTAGTATAATAGTATAGTAATTTCATTCTTTTAAATGACTAATATTCATTATTATAGATGATCATAAATTTATTTAACTAGTCTTTTGTTGAGGGACATTCAGATTATATTCATTCTGTCACCGGTGTAGACAACTCTAGAATAAACATCCTGCTACGTGTGTGTGTGTATGTAACAGCTTTATTGAGATGTAAATCACATTTGATTCAATTGACCTGTTTAAAGACGTTTCATTGGTTTTTAGTATACTCACAGAATTGTGCAACCATTACCACAATCAATCTTAGAATATTTTTATCATCCCCCAAAGAAATCCCATACATTTTAGCAGTCAGCCTTCCTATTTCCCCCATCCATTCTCCCCACCTCCCCAGCCTAGGCAAGCACTAAACTATTTTCTGTCTCTATATATTTGCCTATTCTAGACTTCTTATATAAAGAATCATATAATATGTGGGCTTTTGTGACTAGCTTCTTTCATTTAGCATAATGTTTGCAAGGCTTATGCATGTTTATATCAGTATTTCATTCCTTTTAAAAAAGCTTTATTGATATTTTATTGATATATTTCATATACCATACAATTTGCCCATTTTAAGTATGCAATTCAGTAGTGTTTAGTGTATTTACAGTTATGTGCAACTATAGTCAATTTTAGAATATTTTCATCACCTCAGAAAGAAATTCTGTACCCTTTAGCTATTTCCCTGCATCCCCCATTCCCAGCCATGCACAATCTTCTTTGTATATCTATAGATTTGCCTATTCTGGACATTTCATATGAATGGAATTATGTAATATGTGATCTTTTGTGACGGGCTTCTTTCACTTAGCGTATTTTCAACACTCATCCATGTTTTAGCATGTATCAGCACTTCATTCCTTTTTATGACCAAATAATTTTCCATTGAGTGGATATATATCACATTTTGTTTATCCATTCCTTGATGGACATACTCTTTTTTTTTTTTTACAGATTTTATTTATTTATTTGACAGAGAGACACAGCAAGAGAGGGAACACAAGCAGGGGGGAGTGGGAGAAGGAGAAGTAGACTCGCTGCTGAGCAGGGAGCCTGATGCGGGGCTTGATCCCAGGACCCTGGGATCATGACCTGAGCTGAAGGCAGATGCTTAACGACTGAGCCACCCAAGCGCCCCCTGATGGAAATATTCTTTACTTGTAATCTGTGTCTTTATAGTTAGCATGGGTTTCTTGTAGACAGCATATAGTTTGGTCTTTTTTTATCCTGTGTGACAGTTTCTAGTTTTTAATTGATGTGATCACTTCTTCATTTATGTTTAATGTAAGTATTGGTATGTTTGGGTTTAAGTCTACCATATTGCTACTTTTTTCCTACTTGTACCATTTGTTCTTTGTTCCTTTTTTTCTACTCTCCTTTCTTCATTTATATTATTTTAAAAATTGTAGCTCACCTTAGATTATTGGCTAAACATTCCTGTTTTTTTAAGTGGTTGCTTTAGGGTTTATACTATACATCTTTAACTGATCATGGTCTATATTCAACTAATAATATTCCACTCATGTGTATTATACATTTCCATTTGTTCTTTGTGCTGTTGTTGCCATGTATTATTTTACTGCTACATTGTTACAAACTGTTCAGTAATATTATTTTTGCTTTAAACAATCATTTTTCTGAAATATTTTTTAGTAAGATTATTTACATACAGTGATAATCACACATTTTAAATATACGGTTTGAGTTATGATAATTTTATACTGCTGCATAACTATCATGACAATTAAGATAGAACAGTTCATTCACCCTAAAATGTTTCCTTGTGTCCTTTTGTAGACAGTCCCAGTCCCCATCTTCAGGCCCAGGCAGTCATTGATATGTTTTCTGTCACTAGTTTTCTTTTTCTATAATTTCACATAAGTGGAATTATATATTATATAATCTTTTGTGTTTGACTTCTTTTACTTAATGTGTAATGTATTTGAGATTCGTCAATGTTGTTTTATTAATATTTGCTCCTTTTTATTGTGGACTGAATATTCCACAGTATGAATGTACTGCAACTTGTTTATTCACCAGTTGATGGATATTTGGATTGCTTCTAGATCTTGGCCACTATGAATAATGTTGCTGTGAACATTGGTTTGTACTTCTTTGTGTGAAATTTACATTTTCATTTCTCTTGGGTAAATACCTAGGAGTGGAATCACTGGACAGTTATACCTTAAAGAAATTACGAACCTCTCTCAGTTATCTACTTCCATTTGCCACCACTCAAACAACAGAACACCAAAAGGAGAAAAAGTCCCTTCTTTCTCTTGCAGTCTTGTATTGTCCTTCCAGCACTTGCTAATAACAGAGACTAACATCATTGCTAGTCATAGAATAGCAGTCCATTGAGCCTAGTTTCAGTTTTACAATGTAGGGCAAAGAAGGTTGGGTTGGGAGTTGAGGAGCAATAAATTAATAACTAATACACCCTGTAGGCCAAGTATACAACTGTTACCCTGGGATACTCCTTTACTATCATCTCATAATGCTCTTTTTATCCTTCCTAGTTTGATTCCCTGTTTCCTGGAGTCCATGTCATCCTCTTTTTTCTACATTTTAGGAAGTGTTCTCATATTTACTTTTTATTTTATTTTTTTTAAAGATTTTATTTATTTATTTGACAGAGAGAGACACAGCGAGAGAGGGAACACAAGCAGGGGAGTGTGAGAGGGAGAAGCAGACTCCCCGCTAAGCAGGGAGCCCGATGGCGGGGCTTGATCCCGGGACCCTGGGGTCATGACCTGAGCCAAAGGCAGATGCTTAACAACTGAGCCACCCAGGCACCTCATATTTACTTTTTAAACAAATATGTTTTTCACTTCTGCTTTCATATTTGTAGTTACCAAAGCCTCTTTTTTACTCCATTTAAATCTTACTCTTATTTCATGGACTTAAGACATCATTGGCATTCTTCTCTTAAATATATCAATGATAATTTTCTTTTTTTTTTTTAATTTTTACCTATTTATTTGAAGGAGAGAGTATGAGCAGAGGGAGAGGGAAAGAGAGGCAGAGAAGCAGTCTCCCCACTGAGCCCAGAGCCCGATGATGCAGGGCTCGATCCCAAGATCCTGAGATCATGACCTGAATCAAAACCAAGAGAAGGCCACTTAACCAACTGAGCCACCCAGGTGCCCCTCAGTGATAATTTTCATTAAAATTTTTTTTTTCTTCTGGGGCACCTGGGTGGCTCATTCGGTTGAGCATCCAACTCTTGATTTGGGCTAGGTCATGATCTTAGGGTCCTAGAATCAAGCCCCACATTAGGCTCCATGCTGAGCGGGGAGACTGCTTGTCTCCCTCTCCCTCTGCCCCTCCCCTTGCTTATGGGCACACTCTGTCTCTCACTCTCTCCCTTCCTCTCTCAAATAAATCTTAAAAAAAATTTTTTTTCTTCCTACTCCATCTTTTTCCTCTGAGTTTGCTTGCCTATTTGCTTACTTGCTTGCTTTCTGTCTCTCTCCTTCCCCCCCCCCCCCTTTCTTCCTTGGTCTCTAGCTTTCTTCATATTTCTGGTGGTCTTTGGTTGCTACTCATATTTAAGAGTCAGATACTGAAAGTCTTTCTGAAAATTTGTTGCTTATGGATTCTCATAGGATCAGTTAGATGAGTCGTTTTTGGGGAGAACCTCCAACGTCTAATCTCCTGCCTAGAGATTGTCAACCAGTTTTCTGGAATCAAAATGGGAGAAGAAAGCTTGTGGGTCTTAGTATTCAGTATGTGAATATTTGCTTAGATTTGTTTCTTAAATAGTGTTCTGCCTTCAGCCTTGTTTGGTGTCCTCCAGTATAGAAACTGTTCTATCCCTTCCAGAGATTGAACTTTCAACCTTGGGGAAGGAGAGGACCTTCTGGTGTCAGTCAACTGCCTGTTAAGTGTGCCTAAATAGGGGGGTCGAGATCTAATAATGCGACTACTATTTTTTCTTTTTTTTTTTTTTTAAGTAGGCTCCATGCTCATCCTGGAGCCCAATGTTGGGTCTGAACTCACAACCCTGAGATCAAGACCTGAGCTGAGATCAAGAGTTGGATACTCAACTGACTGAGTCACCCAGGCACCCCTGTAATCCAACTATTTCTTAAACAGACTTTCATCCAGTTTTCCTATTTTTAAGCCCCATCTTCTAGAGGTTCCAGCACCTCCAATTCCTCAGTCTTTTGAGAGTTTGGCAGCCCATCCTAGGTAGTTTCTTAGCTTTTCCCATTGTCAGCTTTGGATTCAGCTTTATTAAGACTGCTAAGTAGGTTATCATTCACCTACCTGCTTTCCAATTTCCAAACTTGGGTTACCTTTATTTCTTCTTTCATTTCTCCTTCTTGTGGGTTTATGCCTTTTTGAAAACTGTTCTTCAGTTGGTTTACTCCACTGGACTCAGGACTAAAAATTAAGGTGTTAAATTCATCATCTTTACCGGAAGCCCTCATTGTTTGTTTGTTTGCTTATTTACTTACCTCTCTTTATTTAAAAAAAATTTTTAGTGGCGCCTGGGTGGCTCAGTCTGTTAAGCATCTGCCTTTGACTCAGGTCATGATCCCAGGGTCCTGGAATCGAGTCCTGCATCGGGCTCCCTGCTCAGTGGAGAACCGGCTTCTCCCTCTCCTTCTGCCTCTTCACCCCCACTCTTGTGTGCCCCTGCCCCTCCACCCCCACTTGTGTGCATACCTGTGCCCGCTCTCTCTTTCTCTCTCATTCTTGCTCTATCTCAAATAAATAAAGAAAATCTTTAAAAATTTTTATTATTTTAGAGAAAGAGAAAGTGTTGGGGGGAGGGGCAGAAAGAGAGGGAGAGAATCCCAAACAGATTCCCTGCTAAGTGGGGCCTACCCAGGGCTCAATCTCAGGACCCTGAGATAACCACCAGAGCTGAAATCAAGAGTCGGATGCCCAACCAACTGAGCCACCCAGGAGCCCCTAAAAAAAAAAAAATTTTTTTTTAAATAGGCTCCAAGCCCAACGTGGGGCTTAAACTCACGATGTGGGATCAAGAGTTGCATGTTCTACCAACTGAGCCTGCCAGGCACCTGCTTTATTCTTTATTTGCGGTTGCGGTAGTCTATTGGTGGATATGATAGCTCTCTTTCTTATGAACATTTAGGTTATTTCCAACTTTTAGCTATTACAAACAGTGTTTGTAATAACATTAACATTTTGCACTCACCTGAGTACTTGCACATAAAAGTAAGATATGCTTACCTTTACACAAGTATACCTATAGGATTTTTTTGAAGATATGCACAGGTTTTATTATGAAAGATACTGTCAAATTATTTCTCCACAGAGGTTGTACAATTTATACTCCCACTTGTATGAGAATGTTTCCCTGTATCCTTTTGATCTTTGCCAGTGTCCTAGATGAATGCTGTCTCAGTGTGGTTTTATTGTGCATTTCTCTTATTGCAAATGGGATGGGGCGTTTTTTCATATGTTTAAGAGCTATTTATATTTTCTTTCCTGTTAACTGTTCATCTCCTTTTCCTGTTTTTCTACACTATTGTTAATCTTGTTCATATTTCATTGTAGTAGCTTTTTATAAATGTTAATAGAAAAAAATCATACCTCGGGCGCCTGGGTGGCTCAGTTGGTTAAGCGACTGCCTTCGGCTCAGGTCATGATCCTGGAGTCCCGGGATCGAGTCCCGCATCTGGCTCCCTGCTCGGCAGGGAGTCTGCTTCTCCCTCTGACCCTCCTCCCTCTCATGCTCTCTGTCTCTCATTCTCTCTCTCTCAAATAAATAAATAAAATCTTTAAAAAAAAAAAAAAGAAAAAATCATACCTCAAGATATGACTTACATGGGGCGCCTGGGTGGCTCAGTTGGTTAAGCGACTGCCTTCGGCTCAGGTCATGATCCTGGAGTCCTGGGATCGAGTCCCACATCAGGCTCCCTGCTCAGCAGGGAGTCTGCTTCTCCCTCTGACCCTCCTCCCTCTCATGCTCTCTCTATCTCATTCTCTCTCTCAAATAAATAAATAAAATCTTAAAAAAAAAAAAAGATATGACTTATACATATTCTTTCTATATGGGTTGATTATCATTTGACTTCTGACCTTTTTTTCTTCTGAGTTCCTCCCCTACCCACCCACATTGTTCTGGTCTGTAGCAAAACCTTGAAAAAGTATTTTTGGTTTTTTTCTTTTATGATTTATTGATTCTTTGTGATATTTGGAAAGGTCTTCTTCCTCTTAACAGTGTTAAAATACTATGTTTTCTTTTAAAACATAACATTGCATTTTTTACATGACAATATTTAGCTCATTTTGACTTTATTTTTGTGTAAATTCTGAGATAGGGATCCAATTTATTTTTTTCCCCAGGTGACTATCCAGTTGTCCCCAGATTATCTATTAAATATATTCCCTTTTCTTCTAATGTAAACTGTCCCTTTTATTATGTATATTCTTTGGCTAATCATGAACTTTTCCTACATTATTTAAAGGGAGTGTAAATTGGACTATAAAGCAAATGGATTATCTTGAGATTATTTACTTGTCATTTTTATATTATAGGAAAAAATACAAAGAGAAAAAGATAAGGATAATGTTTCATCTATGAACATAAATATTCAAAATACATTGAAACACCTCCATGCAGATAGTATTGGCAGAGGTCCTACGGCAGAAGATAAAGATAAAAGGCAGTCGAGAAAACTTCAGAGTTATCAGTCCCATGGAGTTCTGTCTTCAGCATGTACAAATGATCACCAAATGAAAACCCTGTTAAAGAGTGCAAATCCAGTTAATGCTTGTTATAGGGAGAGTGGGCAAAGTAAGACTTTATGTAAAGCCATTTCAAGCTATAATCAAAACTTATATGAAGGAACAACTTTTGAAAAAAAGAATTCTGTTTCTCAATCAAGGTATAGTTTAATAATTGTTTCTAACTTTTATGTATTTATTCAAGTATTTTTTGTGCAGTACTATGTGCCACACTGTTAAGCCCTGGGATATAGAAATGATAAAACATGGTCTTGGGGCGCCTGGGTGGCTCAGTTGGTTAAGCGACTGCCTTCGGCTCAGGTCATGAGCTTGGGGTCCTGGGATTGAGCCCTGCATCAGGTTCCCTGCTCAGTTGGAAGCCTGCTTCTCCCTCTCCCACCCCCCCCTACTTGTGTTCCCCCTCACGCTGTCTCTCTCTCTCTCTGTCAAATAAATAAATAAAATCTTTAAAAAAACAAAACCAAAACAAAACAAAAAACATGGTCTTGGGAGGAGCCTAAATGGAAATGTTGAGAAGGGAGTTTGGTTGGGGAGGTATAGGCCAGTTCATCTAAGGCCTTGCATGTCATACTCAGGATTTTTGGTTTTCCCTCATAGGGCATGGGAGCCATTGAGGATTTTAAATTGAGTGACATCAGATTTGAATTTTAGAAGATACTCAGAAAAGTTAACCTGAAACGCTATACCTGAAGTAACAGTGTGTACATTGATAATCCATTAGCAATGTAGCAAAAACCAGTTTTTAAATTTAATTTGATAAAAGGGAATAGTGTGTGATGAAAATCTGGCTTAGGCTTGCCTTTTCACTTGTTCCTTGCACCTCACCTCCAGTTGATGTCCTTTCTCCCTCAGGTAGCTTGTGGGGCCAGACCTGGGATTGTAGTGTTTCTTAAACCCTTACTTGTGTTCTCTCCTCTGATGGTTACTGTGCCAGGAGGGAAAATGAAGAGTATGCTGCTATATTCTGGGAAGGTTGCAGGGTGAACAGGATATTAGGGAGATGGATTACATCATCATCACCCCTTTTTTCCTTTGCAAAACCATTCTTGATGTCAATTTAACTTGATTTCTCAGGGATATGGAATTGGAAAGCATTGAGATACGTTCTTGGGCCAGCCTTCTTGCTCTCTGATTCTGTTCTCTCCTTTTTTTTTCCGCCTCATTCCTTCCTGTTTTCCTTTTTCTTTTTTTAAGTTTATTTATTTATTTCAGTAATCTCTATACCCAGTGTGGGGCTCGAATCCATGACCCTGAGATCAAGAGTCTCATGCTCTACCAACCGAGCCAGGCAGGTGTCCCATGTTTTCCTCTTTTATAACTTTTCCCCCATGTTTCTGCTGGCATCAGTATTATTGCCCTTTGGAGTCTTGTAGGTTTTTGGGTTTTTTTTAAAGATTTTATTTACTTATTTGAGAGAAAGAGAACGAGAATGATCAGGGTGAAGGGCAGAGGGAGTTAGACGTGGAGTTCGATCCCTGGACTCTGGGATCATGATCTGAGCCCAAGGCAAATGCTCAACCGACTAAGCCACCCAGGCGCCCCTGGAGTCTTATTTAACTCCATTTTTGGAAAGGAGGCTATAACCATTACAAACACTACTTGGGCAGAATTTGATAGACTTTGGTAGACCCTGGTTCCATCTCCTCCTGCCTGCCAAACACCCAGAATTGCACCACTGCCTACAGAAACATTTGTCTACACACCAAACACTATGTTTATTTTTATTTTTTATTTTTTTATTTTTTTAAAGGTTTTATTTATTTATTTGAGACAGAATGAGATACAGAGAGCATGAGAGGGAGGAGGGTCAGAGGGAGAAGCAGACTCCCTGCCGAGCAGGGAGCCCGATGCGGGACTCAATCCCGGGACTCCAGGATCATGACCTGAGCCGAAGGCAGTCGCTTAACCAACTAAGCCACCCAGGCGCCCCCACTATGTTTACTTTTAAATATCTGGTGTCTATTTTCTTTTAGTGACCATATTTTTAAACATCCAATTCCCGTTGTCAAAAATAGAAAGCAGCAGTTACCAGTAACAGGTATGATTAAAAATATTTCTTCTTTGATTTTTTAAGAAAACATATTTAGGTGGATAATATAGCTAAAAATGTACATTGGTATATTTGCCCTCTTAACATATGAGCCACACCTTTGACTCTCTTTCTGGTGGTGTAAGTGCCTCAGTCACCTTTTACTGATAACCAGAACCTTTCTGTTTATCTACTAGGGTGACTGGATATGTTGTACTGTGCTAAAGTTTATGAAAATCTTGAGAATTAATATATCGTGTAAATGTCAGGGCATTTTCATCAATCAGAAGAATCTTACGTGTTGCAGTTTTTTTTTTCCAGATCCATTTACATTATGTTCAGATATAATAAATAAAGAAGTCATCAGTTTTCTAGCAACTGACAATCATTCCAAAATGTTAAAGTATAGATGCTCAGGTAAATATTCTTTAATTACATTTGTTTTGCAATTAAAACTTTGTATGAAATTAGTTAACTAGGATTTGTAGTAGTTCTGCCTGTGTGATTTAAACTTCATTTCCTTTGGAAAAATAACAATCTGGAATATCATAAAACACTCAAATCAATACCTATCTGCATTAGCCTGTGCTTCCAATATTTATTTATATGAATCACCACATCTAATACTTTATTACTTTATTATTCTATTTTTGTCAACAATACCATCTACAAGTTTAACTTTTCTGAGTAAGGTAAACATTTTTTATATTTTCAGAGAGCCAATAGGTATGTATTCTGGATAATGCTCTAAACATAAGACATTAAATATTAAACAGTATCTATTTTTATGTCTATATTTAATGTGTAAATGTTTCTAGTGTTCCACGCCCCATTATTTTATTTTTTCTGCAAGTCTCCTGTAAATGTGCCACAATGCTTAACCCACAATGCTTAACCCAGCCCCTTCTCCTCCATACCCTGATATTTCCTCTTTTAGTGTCACTCTCTGCTCTATGGACAAAATTGAGGCTATTCTATAGTAGGCTTGAAATAACACTATTCTTTAGTCTTGAATGTAGAGTTTGTCTCTATTACTCTAAAATTAGCTACATCATCTGAATCCCATCTCTTTTTTCCTCCTCACTTTAATACTTGTGAAATCTTTCTTTTCATTACCTTTCTATTCATTAACCCCTTTTGGCCCACCTTAAACTATGTTCATTTCTCTTCATCTAAAAAAGAAAAATCTAAGGGCTCCTGGCTGACTCATTTGGAGGAGCATGCGGCTCTTGATCTCAGGGTTGTGTGTTTGAGCCCCACGTTGTGTTTAGAGATTACTTAAGTAAATAAAAATTTTAAAAAGAGGGAAAAAGTATTAAATACTTGATGTGATTTGCTGTCTCTTCAAGTATTCATCCCCTCTTTCTTTCATCATTTATTACCAGACAGCCTGCTCTTTCTCCTTTCTCTTTCATGGTATGAATGCCCTTCTTAACTCCCTGCACTCTGGCTTCTTTTATTGCCATTCTACTAAACCTAAATGTTAAAGATTTCCTGAAGTCTCTTTTTTTCCTGCCAAAACCGAAGACTTTTTAAAAAATTTTTATCCTCTCTAGTATCTCTGTGCTGCTGACTGCCCTTCCTTGAAATCCTCTCCTCTCAGTAGTTTATTTTTTTATTTTTTATTTTTTAAAGATTTTATTTATTTATTTGAGAGAGAGAATGAGATAGAGCATGAGAGGGGGGAGGGTCAGAGGGAGAAGCAGACTCCCTGCCGAGCAGGGAGCCCGATGCGGGACTCGATCCCGGGACTCCAGGATCATGACCTGAGCCGAAGGCAGTCGCTTAACCAATTGAGCCACCCAGGCGCCCTCCTCTCAGTAGTTTAAAGACAAATTTCCCAGATCGTCCACCCAGGCTCCCTGGAGGTGTGCATTGAACTCACAAGGCACTACACAATACTTTAAATTTTAAGTGAAACACAAAATAGTCAACATCTTTTGGATACCACAGGCACTACTAGCTCAAAGTCGTTTACAGTTTCAGCGTTAGATTGCACTACATTCCTTGTGATGATGTCGTCTTTGTGGAGCTGGGCTTTCAGTGGTTGTGATAAAAAGCAAGCACCAGGGGCGCCTGGGTGGCTCAGGTCGTGATCCTGGAGTCCCTGGATCGAGTCCCGCATCGGGCTCCCTGCTCGGCAGGGAGTCTGCTTCTCCCTCTGACCCTCCCCCCTCTCATGTGCTTGCTCTCTCTCATTCTCTCTCTCTCAAATAAATAAATAAAATCTTTAAAAAAAAAAAAGCAAGCACCACATGAAAATAGTATGGAACAGGAAATGAGGGTGGCAATGTCAGATTCCAAGGTTTGAGGAGTTGTGCTGTACCTAGTAGGTGCACATATCCCATTAGAAATAATTGTGATTAATAAGAATGGAATCTAAATATTATTTTCTTTTAAAAAAATTTTTTTTAAAAAGATTTTATTTATTTGAGAGAGAGCACGAGCAAGCATGAGTGGGGAGAGGGGCAAAGGAAGAGGGGCAAGCAGACTCACTGCTGAGCAGGGAACCCGAAATGGGACTGGATCCCAGGACCCTGGGATCATGACCTGAGCTGAAGGCAGATGCTTAACCGATTGAGCTACCCAGGCGCCCCTAATTTTATTTACTTATTTATTTGAGAGAGGGAGAGAGAGCGCACGTACGAGAGGGGGAGGAGCAGAGGGAGAGGGACATGCACACTCTGTGCTACGTGTGGAGCCCAACGCGGGGCTCGATCCCACGACCCTAAGATCCTGACCTGAGCTGAAATCAAGAGTCAGAGGCCCAATCAACTCGGCCGCCCAGGTGCCCGTGTTATTTCAATTTAGGTGTATTTTTTCAAGTGGCTACTAAGTTATTAGAACATAAATATTTATTAAGTTGTTTTGGACTTAACAGGCAAATCAGTATTTCTTTTGGCCCAGGGGTGCCATAAAAAATCACCAAGAACTTAAGGATGCCATGAAGTGGGAAAGTTTGGGAACCTCTGGTCTGACGCATTTCAGAGGGCAGAGTGGATGCTCTATTACTGTTAACTTCCTTTCATCCCTTACTTTGTTTGAGATGGTTCTCTCCTAGTTCCTTTCTTCAATGATGATTCATTTATTTCACAGATACTCAGGGAGTGTTTCTTCTATGGCAGGCGTGGGTATCAAAGATGAATCGATCTCAATCCTTACTTCAAGAACTCTAAAAACCACTCCATTTTATCACCTTTATTACTTTATCTTTCTCTTCTTGCCAAATTTCTACAGATATTTCCCCCAGACATAATCTGTAGGACTTTCTCAACACGGTGGCAACATTTACTTCTGTGGCATCAGCTATCATTTTACTGATGATTTCAAATTTGTTATCTCTATACTTGGCTTCTACTTTGAACTGGTTATAGCCTCATTCCTCCATTTCCAGCTGTATCCAGGACATACTCACTTAAGTATCGTGTTTTTACTTGAAGCTTGATGTATTTAAAACAGCATCTTCCTCCTTGTTAAATTGCCTTCCCTCCAGCCACTCCATTTCTTTTTTTTTTTTTCCCACTCCATTTCTGTTAGTGTTGTTACTATTCTTCTGGCCTTCCAGATTTCAATTATCTATAACCATTTTTTCTCTTTACATCTCCTATTTCTAGTCTGTCAAATTTGGTTCTTTCATTCCCACAGAGGCGCTTTTTGCTTCATGCTCAGTTAAACCAACTTTCTAACAGTCTTGCAGTTTGAAGTCTCACCAACCCCCAACTATAATGTTCATGTTGCTGTTAACTTCTCTAACATGTGCTTTTTATCATGTCATCAAGCTAAAAGAACCCTCAGTGCTTCTCTGTAACTCAGTGACTCAAACTCTCTGCCTGGCTTTTTGTGGAATTTTGTTCTGCTTCCACTTGTTAAATTTTATTGCATATTTGTTCTCTTTAAGTCTTCCAGAAAGTTGCCATGCTTATTCCAAACTTTGTCATTCAATCAACTATCAGATTACTTAAGAATTATCCTAAGCTTTTCCCTTACCCCAGCAGCTCATCATTCACCAGTTTTTACCTCAGAAATCTTAACATTCTCCCTCTAAATGTCCTGTTTCAGAATCCCCTCATTTATATTCTGGACTATTGAAGTAACCCCTCAACTGATCCTCTTACCTTCGCCTAAGCTTTCTATGAGACAAATGAAAATCATTTCCTTGCTTAATAAATATCCTTTAGTTCCTCCCCACTGACTTGAAGATAGTTAATACTTAGTATGGCTTTCAAGACATTCTTATCTTGGGGCGCCTGGGTGGCTCAGTCCGTTGGGCGGCTGCTTTCGGCTCGGGTCATGGTCCTGCGGTCTTGGGATCGAGCCCCGCATCCGGCTCCCTGCTTGGCGGGGAGCCTGTTTCTCCCTCTCCATCTGCCTGTCACTCTGCCTACTTGTGCTCTCTCTCTGTCAAATAAATAAATAAAATCTTAAAAAAAAAAAAAAAGACATTCTTATCTGGCCCCCTGCAACCTTCACTAGCTTCAGCTTTCCTCCCACATTTCTCTCTAGCCACACCAAAGTACCTATAATTCTCTGACCATGCTGTGCCTTTTCACTTTTTTAGGCTTTTGCACATGTTCATTGTACTTGAAATGTCCTTATCTCAGCCAGCTTTCTTCCTGGCTAACTTCTAGTCCTTTAGGAGTGGGCCACTAATAACATTAGGTGACTGGTAGTTGGGGAACTTTATAATGGATGGAAGTGGCTAACGTCATCTGAACCTACTGATCAATCTTAACATTAAAAAAAGACTTTCTGTACCTCTTAATATGATGCAGAAAGAAGTTCTCAATCCTGCCTGTGAGGAATTCTACTAAAAACAATTGAATCTGAGCACCTGGGTGGCTCAGTTGGTTGAGCATCCAACTCTTGGTTTCTGCTTGGGTCATGATTTCAGGGTCATGGGATCAAGCCCCATGTCAGGCTCCGTGCTTGGCAGGGAGTCTGCTTGGAAATTCTCCCCTGGCCCCTCCCCCTGCTCCCTCTCTTTCTTTCTCTCTCTCTCTAAAATAAAATAAGGGTGCTTGAGTGGTTCAGTCGGTTAAGCGTCTGCCTTCAGTTAAGTGTCTGCCTTTGGTTCAGGTCATGATCTCAGGGTCTTGGGATCGAGCCCCGCATCTGGCTCCCTGCTCAGCAGGGAGTCTGCTTGTCCCTCTCCCTCTGCCCCTCCCCCCACTCGTATTCCTTCACTTACTTGCTCTCTCTCAAATAAAATCTTTAAAAATAAGATAAATCTTAAAAAAAATTGAATCTGAATCTTATCAATCATCCAGATCTAATTACTAGTTTATTGGACACACAGGAACATTTTAAAGCATCTAACTAGGATAAAATCAAGAAAACCTAGCCTTTGAGTAGCTCCATAGTACAAATGACCCAGTGTTTACATCAAGTAAATGACAAGGAGGAAGAGAGGAGAATTGATAGATTAAAAGAAACTCAAGAGACATTTCAACTGAATGTAATGATGGAACTTCTTTGGATCATGGTTTAAACAAATTAACTGTAAAAAGAAAGTTTTGAAATGATGGGGAAATTTGAACACTGGATATTAGATTATATTAGGCATAATTTTTTTAGGCTTGATAATGGTTTTGTGTGTTTGAAAAAGAAGCCCTTTTCTGTTAGGGTTGCATATGAAGTATTTACAGATGAAATGATACTTTAATGCCAATTCCAGCCTCCATAATCCAGTGTATACATGGGGGGCAGAGCAGAGTAAGTGGGTTGTAGGCAAAATATGACTGAGCATGACTTAATAATTACTGAAGGTGAATGATGGATATGTGGAAGTTCTTTTTCCCTTACTCTTGTGTGTTTAAAATTTTCCATAATAAAACACTGGGGGGAAAAAGACAACCAGGCATAAGGGTCACTTGTTTTGGATAGCTTTCCTAATAGTGACTCCTACTCAGAACCAAGCTAGGTGGTCTGTTTATATATCAACCTAACTGTTCACACCTCTATTGTAACACTTATTTCACTGTATTGTATCTGTTGTCTTTAATCTCTCCTATGACTGAGCTTCTTGACATATTTATAATTAAGTTCCTGATTTCAGTTACCATCATAAAGATATTTGCTTTCACAGATTTTTGTTATTAGATATTTTGTAACATCTATATATCACTTTAATTTGTTTTCTTTTAGGTTGCATAGCAGTAGGAAAATCTCTGAATAGCCGAAATTTTAGCAAGCTCTTGCACTCTTGCCCATACCAATGTGATCGTCATAAAGTCATTGTGGAAGCTGAAGACAGATATAAAAGTGAACTAAGGAAATCACGTATCTGTAACAAAAGTAATTAATTCCGCAGCTTTGAAACTGTAATTATGACTATGCCTTCTGAACTGTGATCTAGAACATTAAATATATTAAAAAGCTAGAGGGCAAAATGTTGAAAAGAAAATGTCTCTGAGCAACCAGTGTTTTAAGATGTACCCAGGGAACAGATTTAGTCTCTGGTAGTTTAAAAATTCTTCCTAATCCATCTAAGAATTCCCATTAGAGCGGGGGGGGGGGGGGGGGGGGGAGGAAATACCATATTAATGGAATTGATGTGCTCTTACTCAGATTGATACTCTAAGTATCCTAAATGTTTTCTGTATTTTTCAGAAATTCTGCTGACCCCACGTAGAAGACGACAACTCAGTGGTGAATCTTCTACCTCTGGAGAAATAAGTTAATATATTTAATTTTTAAATAAACCTAAATTGCATATAGTTCTGAGAAAAAGAGGACAGCTGAAGGATTGTTCTCAGTCTCATCATTAATGGTTCTTAAATGATAATCCTTGGCTTTGATGAAGGCCATAGGTCCTAAGAAAAGAGGCTTCTCACTTTCCTTCTCATGTTGCTTTCTCACCCATTGCTTGCCAGCTGGGGAAGAAGCAGGAGGAAACTAACATTTATTAAGCACTTCCTGTATGTTAGGTGTACTACAGACATTTCCTTTAATTCTTATAATAATATTATTATAAGGTAGGTTTTATTTTATTCCCACTTTAAGGTACAATGAGTTGGCAAATGGCAGAGCTTACATTCAAATGCAAGCCTGTCTTTCTTCAGAAGCCCCTGTTCTATCCTCTCGATCACATTTCTATTTTAAGAACAAAATTATTCTCCTATGTATAAGTGCCTCAGAGAGATTTTGCAAAGGGTTTAGGTTCATAACTACAGCACTTCACACCATCAGAATTGAAGAGACACATAGAACCCTGCTTAAAAATCAAAATACTTCTTAAGTGATGAGTTAATTTATGAGAATTTTTATTTAACTACGGGTTAACATTTCAGGTTTATAACCATTCCAAATTTATTACAGAGACTTAAAGAACGTTATCACTGTATTCTCTTCATATGGAATTAATGCCTGAAGAGTAAGAATAAGCAGTTGAATAACCTTACTTGTCAAAATAACCTGGAATTTAGTAGTATCTATAGAGTTATTCTGTTATTTATTGCAAAGATATTTAGACTTGATACATATGGAAACATTTTGCCATATACTTTTAATTGGCCATTTTCACTTCCAAAGCCTTAAAAGAAGTTTCAAATTTACTTTTTTAAGATTTTGGGGAGGAGGTTACCTGGGTGGCTCAGTTGGTTGACCGTCTGCCTTCAGCTCGGGTCATGATCTCAGGTCTGGGATCAAGCCCCACATCAGGCTCCCTGCTCAGCGGGGAGCCTGCTTCTCCCTCTCCCTGCTTCTCCCCCTGCTTGTGCACTCTCTCTCTCTGACAAATAAAATCTTAAAAAAAAAAAAAAAAAGATTTTTTTTTTTTTTAAGTAGTCTCTACATCCAATGTGGGGCTTGAACTCAAAACCCCGAGATCAAGAGTCACATGCTCTACTGACTGAGCCAGCCAGGTGCCCCTTGAATTAACTTTTTATATCTGGATCTTTTTCTAAGTTAAAAGTTCTGCATGCAAAATAAAATTATGTACAGTACTCCTATAGGGCAGCCCACTTTTTTGAAATATTTCCTGTAGAAACTGTTAGAGAATGGTAACTTTTTTTTTTTAATTTATTTATTTTTTTTATTGTTTTTTTTTTTAATGGTAACTTTTCCATAGAAACATGTTGCACTTGGAAAACTTGCTTTTGACAAGGAGTTGGCATCAAGTTAATAATGGATTTTTTTCAACAACATGACTTAAAAGCAAATATATAACAACTAAAAATATCCTATAATCATTTTACATAGTAAACTCATTTGCACAGCCTCATGAAATGTACATAATTATGGTTATACATTGATTATACAGAGGGATCCTAAATACTATTAAGTGATGTCCAGCTCATAAATACATACATCTTTTTTGTAGGTTAGAATTCCTTTAGCTAAAAACAAATAGTTAATAATTTGGCCTGCTTTTTTTTAGAATTTATAAAGACATCTTGAGGAGGTGTGGAGTAGATTGGTCTTACAAACCTCTTTCACAAGCAGGCTAGGAATTTTGGATATGTTGCCATTTTCCCCCCTTGATTTCCCTTTCTTTTTGAAAGACATTTATGACCATTTGTTTGGCTGTAGGTTACATTCAAATTTGAAACCATTCTTTTGAGAAGAGACCATTGCAGCATCTCAGCATTTAAAGAGCCTTGGCTCTCGTTCAGAATGGACTGGTATCTTGAGAGGGTTTGAAAAATAAGGGTTTCTAGAATTGAGCCTTCTTGCCTTGTTTCCCCTATTCTTTCCTAATACCCGATCAATATTAAGAAGAGCACTAAAGAAGTCACAGAAGGGAGCCCTGTGGGGTAGAGCTGCTTCCTCCTTCTAGGCTGCCCTGTATTCAGCTGCAGTAAACTTTGAGGAATTGGGCACAGATGTAGGAGTCCGTGAGATGGCGGCTTCATTAGAAAAGTGGGAATTGGCTGTGAACAACTTCCAGATGCCTGTGTCCTGAACGTTATAATAACCTGTCCTGTCCTGATTATGAGTTCAAATCATTTAGCAAGTGAAGTTGAAATCATGTATTTCTTGGATAACAGTAGTTTTCCAGGAGACCCAAAAGTGAAGAGTAACGTCTTTGATAAGTTTTTTTTGTTTTTTGTTTTTAAAGATTTTATTTATTTATTTGAGAGAAAGAGAGAAAGCACAAGCAGGGGGAGCAGCAGAGGGAGCGGGAGATGTGGGGCTCTATCCCAGGACCCTGGGATCATGCTGAGCCAAAGGCAGATGCTTAACTGGCTGAGCCACCCAAGCGCCCCCATTAATAAGGTTTTTTTTTTTAATTTTTTTTTAATTTTTTATTTATTTGCGAGAGAGAGAATGAGAGACAGAGAGCATGAGAGGGAGGAGGGTCAGAGGGAGAAGCAGACTCCCTGCCGAGCAGGGAGCCCGATGCGGGACTCGATCCCGGAACTCCAGGATCATGACCTGAGCCAAAGGCAGTCGCTTAACCAACTGAGCCACCCAGGCGCCCCCCCATTGATAAGTTTTGAAACACTTTTTACCAATAAGTTTTTTCTTCCAACAAGTATTTATTGATCCTCTCCTATGTGTCAGGTACTGTTTTAGGCCTTGGGATATGATAGTGACCAAAACAGACAAAAATTCTTACCTTCATGGATCTTGCATTCTAAGTAATACCATTAAGTAATAATCAGACATTATTTTTATTGATTTCTCAGCCTTCTGATAGGATTTTTATTTCTGTTTTAAAAGATCTGAACTATGGCTCCTGTCTTAGGAGAGCTAGACAAATGGCTAACAGTCTTGACCTGCAAGGGCAAGATTTTCTAAGGTTTTCCCAGCACAACTATTTCAAGTCCTCCTAAAGTAAATAGTAGCCTTAAGTGTGAATACAAAAAAAGCCCTCCATATCAGCATCTATCTACAATGATAACATGAATTAGCAATGAATGAAAAAGTTTAAAAGAAAACTATTTCCTAGTAATCATCACCAGAAGATATTTATGTTTTTAACACCAACTGTTTATTCTTTCTTTTGTAGAAAGTATCCCTAAAAGCCAGATAGTTGAAAACTTCTTTCCCCCTTTGTGCAGCCTGTTTTTTGAGTTTTAATCAAGCTGAACACCCATATAGGTAGTGAATGTGTTTTTTAAAAATGAATTTCAAAAGACCCTTATTCTTTAAAAATATTTATCAAGCCTGTTAATTAAAGTAACAAGTGTTGATATTCTTTTTTATTCTATGAAGTAATGGAGCCCTTTGGGAAGACTGTATCTGTAAGATAGGTAAGCTGTTTGTTAATTGTCCTCACAGGAATGTTGAGAGAATTAACAGTCAAATGTTTATAAATTCTTGTGTTTCTTGATTGAAAGGTGTTGCAAGTATTATTACAATAGGATTAAGTTACAGTTATTGAAGAATTCAGAGTGATAAGGCCTAGCTTCATAGTAGGCACTCAGTTTTTAAATTGACATGGATTTCTCTATGATGAGTAGTGCAGGCATGAAGCTTTCTCACTATATAGTTCATATCCTTAGAATAAGTTAAGCACTTATTTGGGTCTCAAGAAGATCCCTTTTTTCAGCAAGTACTAATATATTCTACAATTATTCTTAATTACAGAAAAAAGAAGAATTCGTAAAAACTTTACTGAAGAAGAAGTAAATTACCTTTTCAATGGAGTTAAGAAAATGGGAAATCATTGGAATTTAATTTTGTGGTCTTTCCCCTTTCAGCAAGGACGGAAGGCTGTGGACCTTGCTCACAAATACCACAAGCTGACCAAACGTCCCAAGTGTGCAGCTCCTTGATCGGAATACCTGTCAGTTTTTAGTTTGAACTCTTAAAATACAATGCCTTGAGAAAACACAATTTAAAATACTCTTCTAAACGCTCATGAAGCAGGGAATCTAAAAACAGGAATACTGTTCTAATTACATACTTTTTGTGACGCTTTGTCTCATCGAATTATTAAAGTAATTTCTAAAACAATACATTTTTAATGTGTAGATTAGTAAGACAAAATTCCTTTATAAGGTCAAACATTCATTTAGGAATATGCTTTTATTTTTCCTTAAGCTCAAGGAACACAGGTCAGAGAAAAAAAATGATCAGCCTTTAAACATTATTTGACATTATATTGTAATGGATACCATGTGAGACATTTGGATTTTAGTATATTCTTACCCAGTGAAAGTTCTTCCCCAGAACTTAGAATAGTTTCCCAAGCTGTTCACGTGAAGTTCCCACACATTAAATCAATGTTTGACATTTTGTTAACGAAAATGTTCCTCTTCTAAAGGCTGATTATGTAATTCCTTTGAATACTCCCAAATTCTATGGTTAGGTTCACTTCTTTTTGGTGTATGTTTATTTGTTTTGCTTTTTAAAAACTGAGAACATTTTTTTGTTCATTTTTAAGTTAGTTTTCTTCTAGTGGAAAACCAAACTATTTGATCTCAATTTTCTATTTTTCTTATTCTTTTTATATTTCTATCATGATCCCCAAAGGATGCTGTTGCAGCCTTTATTATACTTAAAATGCTATTGCTGTGGCAAGGTGATTAAGTATCAGGGCCTGAAACCTCACCTGTATACTTAGGTAGCCGTTGGCTCACTGCCTCATGTCATTGTAGATTTCTTCAGTCCCAGAAGTTATTTCCTGTAAGTTTGTATTCTTTGACCTTTTCACATCATGACTATTTCTACTTTGATAAACTCAGAGTTTTTATTAAATTTTTAATTTTCTGATCCATAGTGAAAATTCCAGAGAGCCAATATGCAGAAAATTTTCTATTTAAATCCAAAATTTCCTTTAAAGGAAAGAATAATTTACAATTAGGAAAATTCCTTAAAGCATTTAAAGTGTGAATGAATCTAGTCTATTATCTGTCAGTATTTCCTAAGCACTATGGAGATTATTTAAATAGTCTGTTCGGTTATTTCGATTTGTACTTCTCAAGATTTATGCAAGTTATTTTAGGTCAAAAGGGAAAACATTTTGTCTGTTGTTTCAGCCTTACCAGTTTAGATAATCGAAGTTGTTTCTTAATATTGTTCAAATACAACTTAAGCATATTTTTCCACTTCAAGTGGGTCTCAGGTAATAGTTCTTTTATTTTTTTTTTAATTTTTAAAAAGATTTTATTTATTTGACAGAGAGAGAAACTGAGAGGGGGAACACAAACAGGTGGAGTGGGAGAGGGAGAAGCAGACTCTTCACTGAGCAGGGAGCCCGACACAGGGCTCAATCCCAGGACCCTGGGATCATGACCTGAGCCGAAGGCAGACGCTTAACAACTGAGCCACCCGGGCACCCCAATAGTTCTTTTATTGACTGGGAATTATGTATGTAACAGAAAAATCAAACACTGCTTAAGTGAAGCATCCCCAAGAATATGACATACTATAGCTTAGACACTGATTTGTATCAGTTATTGAGGCAATATTTAAATTAACCAGTATTGGGGCACCTGAGTGGCTCAGTTGGTTGAGTGTCTGACTCTTGGTTTCAGCTCAGGTCATGATCTCAGGGTTTGTGAGATTGAGCCCCGCATGGGCTCCATGCTGAGCATGGAGCCTGCTTAAGATTCTCTCTCTCCTTCTGCCCCTCCCCCCCTAAAAAAAAAATAATGAAAAGAAAAGAACCAATACTCTATTGCCTTCTGAAATATTGAAATTTTGTCCTAACCCTTGACTAACTTTTGGTTAACATGAGCTACTTTTTTTCCTTCAAATGGAAATATTTGGTAATAAAATAAATGACATATCAAAAGGAAAGCTGAAGAATAATGACCGAGAACTGTATGGCTTTAGGAATTCAGACCTGGCCAAATCAACTGGGAATAAAAAATGACTTTAATAATGACAGACCTTTGGAGTTGGAACTGACCTCAGTTATAGTTTGCTGCCAGAGGCATGAACTGCTGTACCTGGCCATTGGTGGCTCTCCTTAATTTTACAAAAATCCTCAGAAACATGGAGTTTACTACTTAGGGTAATAATTGATGGTCATTCCTTCCTTACATTAAAATGAAATGTGCTTTCCTCGAGCACCTTTTGTAGAATCACAAAAGTTGAATTTCTTTTCCACTATGCCAGTCCTTGAAAGGCAAAGATCAATATCCATCATTTTCCTCTTTTCCCTCTACATGCTTTATCTTTCATGCTGATAAGCCCCAGTTACTTCAGCAGAACAGTGTCATGTCTCTTATGAACTTAGTCACTGAACACTTCTTTTGTCTTTTTTTTTTTTTAAGATTTTATTTATTTGACAGAGAGGGAACACAAGCAGGGGGAATGGGAGAGGCAGAAGCAGGCTTCCCGCGGAGCAGGGAGCCCGATGCGGGGCTCGATCCCAGGACCCTGAGATCACGACCTGAGCTGAAGGCAGACAGTTAACGACTGAGCCACCCAGGTGCCCCCACTTCTTTGTCTTTATAAACTGTGGCCAGAAAGAAATGTGGCCTGACTGCCAGAGTAAGGGATCAGCTTTGAGGGGTCCAATGAGGTTTTATGGACCTCACCTGAGATAGTTCTTGGTATTATACATGATCAACTCTCAGACTGTAGTTAATATAGTTTATGATTTACAGATTATAATTTTAATTAATTTCTATTTTGTTCTTAGGCTTTTATTTTTAACCCCACTACAGAACTCAGCAGTCTCTTAAAATTTCATCTTGCTACATTTATTTATTTATTTAAAAGATTTTATTTATTTATTTGACAGAGAGAGACATAGCGAGAGAAGGAACACAAGCAGGGGGAGTAGGAGAGGGAGAAGCAGGCTTACGCGGAGCGGGGAGCCCGATGCGGGGCTCGATCCCAGGACCCTGGGATCATGACCTGAGCCGAAGGCAGTCGCTTAACCAACTGAGCCACCCAGGCGCCCTACTTATTTATTTTTAAAAAGATTTTATTTATTTGACAGAGAAAGACAGAGAGGGAACACAAGCAGGGGGAGTGGGAGAGGGAGAAGCAGGTTTCCCACAGAGCAGGGAGCCCAGTGTGGGGCTCGATCGCAGGACCCGGGGATCATGACCTGAGCCGAAGGCAGATGGTTAAAGACTGAGCCACCCAGGCGCCCCATCTTGCTAGATTTAATCTGCACGCAGTTTGTCATCCAGTATATTAGGCATCCCTTCCTGCTTCAGGTCATCCACAGCTGATGGCAACTTGAGTTGGCTGGGCCAGGGTGAGAGGTGGGGCAGGCTCCTAGCAGCCTCTGGTTGTCCCTGCTCATTGGTCCCCTCTGGGCCTGGTCTTTAACTTGCCTCAATGCTATCATTCAGCTTACATTTTTCACTTTCTTATCTATGATGTGAATTGCCAGATGCCCTGTTGAAAACTGCAGTTGCTGTGTCTGCAACATCCTCCTGCCTGGTATTCCTGCAAAAAAGAAAAAGACTGTAAATCTAGTCCTATCTTTTCCTTTTCCAATGGTCACATTAGAGAATTTTACCTAGGGCTGATAAGTTCACTGGCCTGTAGTTTTAAACTCCATCTTCTGTCCTGTGAAAATTCAGATTTATGACTTGTAACACTTTCAGACTTCCAAGGGTGTAACTTTTTTTTTTTTTTTTTAAGATTTTATTCATTTATTTGAGACAGAGAGAATGAGAGAGAGAGAGCACATGAGAGGGGTGAGGGTCAGAGGGAGAAGCAGGCTCCCCGCCGAGCAGGGAGCCCGATGCAGGACTCCAGGATCATGACCCGAGCCGAAAGCAGTCGCTTAACCAACTGAGCCACCCAGGCGCCCAAGGGTGTAACTCTTAATGGGTTTTCACTCTCATTGTCTTGTTTGAACCTTACATTCAGGTTGGCAGATGCTATGCCCATTTGTTGGATCCTGTAACTCTTGCTGCCAACATTTGGCAGAGCCGGATCAGAATTCTGCTCATTTGAAACTCATGTAGGTGGTTGCTTTTCCGCCATATCCCACTTCCTTGTGATATTTAGAAATGCCTTATAAAGTGAGCTGTTTGAGGATAGCAAGATCCCTCAGAGGCCACACCTAAAGTTAAGCTGGATGGGTGAAATGGACTTGTTTTTTTCCCATTACTTTATTTCCCCTTGTGGCTTCTTGACCTTTATCCTTCACATCTTTTTCGTTCCTTCAACCCCCCACCCCAAGACAGGAAAGTAAAGCTGCCTATTTGTGGTGTGAAATGCTGGCTCCCTGGAAATAACATTTTTTAAAAACCCGTTAATAGGGACGCCTGGGTGGCTCAGTCGTTAAGCGTCTGCCTTCAGCTCAGGTCATGATCCCAGGGTCCTGGGATCGAGTCCCACATCGGGGTCCCTGCTCTGCGGGAGGCCTGCTTCTCCCTCTCCCACTCCCCCTGCTTGTGTTCCTGCTCTTGCTATGTCTCTCTCTGTCAAAAAAATAAATAAAATCTTTAAAAAAAAAAAACGTTAATAAACTCGAGTGTATTGTTTACTGCGGCAAAGATCACTACCTTGCAGTTTTAATAGGGTCAAGGAAAGAGGAGTAGAAAAGCGGGCTATTTATGAGGATTTGAGGGTCTAGTTTAAGGTCGATCTTTCAGTGCGGGGCTTGGTGAGAACTGGGCAGAGTTCATGATACAACAGTTTAAACTCAGTGAATAAGATTTAAGTACTGGGATGCTATCTTCTGGCACTGGGGTCCTCGGGAAGGTTTATTAAGCTTTCCAAGCTTCAGGTTCCTCGTCTGCGAAAGGGTTAGATACATTCAGTGAGATAATGTGTGACTGTGGCACAGGTAAGCGCCAGATAAATGGCGCTGTCGTGCACTGGTCTCACTCCAAAGCCTGAACTGTTCGCGCCAGCCCACTTGGCTTCCTGGCCCCCGACGGCGCACCGCGAGCGCGGAGCGGGGCGAGGACCCCAGGCCGGGTGCCGCTGCGCCCCTTGGCCGGCAGAGGCCGCCCGCGCGCTCTCCGGCCGGGCGGTTCCCCCTCCAGCCGCCGTCGCCTCTCTGCGCATGGCTGCCCCGGCGGCCGCCTGACCGCCGCCCACCTTCCACCACCGCGGCGGCCTCACGACCCTGTGGGAGCTCGCGGACATCGTGGGCCCGGCGGAGCGCGGCGGGCGGCGTGGACCCTACAGGGCGGGCGGCGTGCGGTGTGGCGTGGGGGGCGGCGGGCGGCGGGCGGCCCGACCAGGGTCCTCGCGGGTCCTCGGCGGGCCCGGGGGAGGGCCCTCTTTGTGGCTGCAGTTGGCAAGATGGCGCCGGTGGGGGTGGAGAAGAAGCTGCTGCTGGGTCCCAACGGGCCCGCCGTGGCGGCTGCCGGCGACCTCACCGGTGAGGAGGAAGAAGGCCAGAGCCTATGGTAAGACAGCGAGGCGGCCGGGCCGAGCCGGCTGAGCCCAGGAGGGCGCGGCCGGGCGGGGAGCCGGCCGGACTGGACTGGACCGTCTGATGGTCTGACGGGCCGTCGCGGGCAGGGTAGGTCCAGTCGGGTGAGGCTAGCCCCGGGGCTGACCGCTTCGCTGTTGTCCCCATAGGTCCTCGATCCTGAGCGAGGTGTCCACCCGCGCCAGGTCCAAGCTGCCGTCCGGCAAGAACATCCTGGTCTTCGGTGAGCGCCGGAGGCGGGGCGTTGCCCGGGGAGCTGGGGTGGGCGAGACGGGCGCCCCTCTCACAGGTCCCAGCCTCTCCCTCCCCTGCCGCCTGCCCGCAGCCTGCCTCTCCCGGGAGGGCTGGAGATCCTGGCTGGACAGCCGGAGGATGGCCAAGTCCACCGTGCCTGAGGTTGGGACATCTCTTTTGGAGAGTCCAGTGATGCTGGCATGGAGTTGTCGGCACATTCCTTAGTCATTTGGCCGCAACATCAACCTTATTTTAAATGTCCCTGATTCCCTGCGCTCATAGCCTCGAAGTTCACCAAATTGCGGATGGGGTGAGGGAGGGTGAGAATATGAGTAGGTTAGGTGAAGGAGGTGCGGGAACGAGATGACTTGGGGTCAGGGCTAGAAATGGCACCGGGGCCATTCCTTCATCTTCATAAGTAGTGCACAGTCGGGGAGACCCTGCAAAGGACAGTAGGTCTTGGAGTCCTCCCTGGGGACTTTACTGCATTATTCCAGCCCTCACTGCTGGGTCAGGTCCCTTAGTGTGTCTGGTCTCAGTTCCTTCTGCAAGTGAGGGAGTTTGATCAGGTTCATTCATTCAGAGAACCCGTTTGTTGAGCGGTTCCTGTAGGCTGGGCACAGAGACAGCACAGATGTCTTTCAGACTTTGCACAAGAATCTCAGGCTAATGAGAGACTGATAGGTTGGTAATTGTGCTACACCATGTTGGCATGGCAAGATGACTGTGGGAGCATCACATTGCTTGATGTTTTGCGGGAGGGTACTTTTGGTGTCCGGTGTTTTGAAGGATAAGTGTCAACATGAAAGGGTACAGCGGGTTAGTGTTTGTAGGAACACAGAGGTGACAGGAGGGTGTGGGGGGTTGGAAGCTGCCAGAAGCTTCTTGTGGAAGGTGACGGATGAAGTAAGTTGGGGCAGATTGTGGAGGACTGAAGAGTTGTTGCTTTTTCCTGGAGGCCCCTCAGTTTCAAGGCCTTTTGTTTCCCCTCCATCCCCTAATCCTCCTGGCAATAGCTGTTAGGGTAATTTTGCCAGTGTTTTTGAGGAAAGTTTATGGTCTTTAGGTGATAATCACTACAGAAGGTAATAGAGGAATAGAGGACCGTTAGAGATCCTCATTAAGTGGGGCATCAAGGTCACCAGATCTGTGTTTTAGAAAGGGAATTCTGGCAGCAGAGTTGTAGGTGACAAAAATGAGCAGATATTGAAGTCAGGCTGACAAATGTTCACCATGGCCCAGAAGGGAGTATCTCTGTGTGGAGTATCTGAATGCAGTATCTCTGTGTGGAGTATCTGAATGCAGTAGTGGCACTGGGGATGGAGAAGAGGCCTTTGATCTGTGGAATGCCTCTCAATTCTCATGTCCTGTAATTCCATATTATTAAATGCCAGGGGTGCCTAGTAATGTTTCTGGGTGGTGGTTTGTCTTAATGTGTAAGGTTTCTTTTTCGGGGGTGGGGGTGGTTGTTAGTTGGTGGGAGGGGGATGAGGAGGAGCTTGATAATTACTGAGACTGTACTTAAGAGTTTTGCTCAGGTCTGTAATTATTTTCATCAGTTTCCTAGCCTCCAGGATGCTTATGAAAGAGAGGTACTAAAATCAAAAGTGAATAATAGTTTCTATTCTTCATGATTATGAGGCAGGATCAGACTTTTTTTTAGTTCCCAGTTCCTGGCTTTAAGGTTAATTATATTTTGAAGATTTCTTGCTTTTCTTGTAGTAAAAGTTTATTTTGTGAGAAACTGACTCCACCTTTTACTTTTACTTCTCCAGATGCATGTCTTACAAATTGTAGGTAGGGCCTGTGGACCTGCCTTATTCTGTCCCTTGTGAAATAAGGATGACTGCAGTAGAATATCATTTTAGATCTTGGAATTTGCCACCTTTATCACCATCCCCCCACCCACTCTTACAGCAAAGCCTACTTTGTTGTTTTTTTTTTTAAAGATTTTATTTATTTATTTGACAGAGAGAGAGAGAGAGAACAAGTAGGCAGAGAGGCAGGCAGAGGTAGAGGGAGAAGCAGGCTCCCCGCTGAGCATGGAGCCCGATGCGGGGCTCGATCCCAGGACCCTGGGATCATGACCTGAGCCGAAGGCAGCCGCTTAACCGACTGAGCCACCCAGGCACCCCAAAGCCTACTTTGTTTATGATGAACGCAGGTCAGATCTCAGCAGCAGGCTTTGCATGAAATTCTTAGTTGTCACTTGTGTAAGTGTCAATACTCCCCGTCCTTGCCTAGAATAAACAGCACACTTTGCCTTCTTTTGTATATCGTTTGTAGGTGAGGATGGCTCTGGGAAAACAACCCTCATGACTAAACTTCAAGGAGCTGAGCATGGCAAAAAAGGAAGAGGCCTAGAGTATCTCTACCTCAGCGTCCATGATGAGGACCGAGACGGTAAGTGAAATGTTGATCCGTGGTAAGGGGTATATGCATGTCTCAGACTCAGTGGTTGTGGCTCCTGCAGTGTGTCTAGGCATTCTCACTTTTCGGTTTAGTTCTAAGAGAGTTAGTCACAGGGCAACAGATGAAATGTATATCTTTGCAGGACTTTACCACTTTTTTTTTTTTTTTTAAGTTTATTTCTTTAAGTAATCGCTATACCCATCATGGAGCTCAAATTCATGACCCTGAGATCAAGAGTCGCATGCTCTTCCAACTGAGCCAGCCAGGCGCCCCAACCCACTTTTCCCTTTTAGAGTATGTTAATAAAAATGAGGAATTGGGACTGTTAGCTATTGCTCTGGGTAGCCCCTAATTAAAAGGTAAAGTTTCAAATGCACGTAAAGGTAGTAAGAAAGATGTTCTTAAAAGCTTTGGAAAAAATAAATACATAAAGGCTTTGGACCTTTCTATGAGAGAAATGCTTGGCAGATTGATTTGGGCACATTGTTACTCTGCCATGTCCTAGTGGAGAATCTGAAATTCGTATGATTCAGAGAATAACAGCTCAATAGATATTCACAGTAGAGTTTTTTGAGTCTTTTTGTGACAATGTAGAAATGCTGATTGCCTGTGTTTCTTTCAGTGGAGGAAATAGAGGCTTGGAGGTGATGATGTTCTTTCTTAATTCCTTATCTCTAGAATATGGATAGTAATAGTTTCTACCTACAGGGTAGTTGGGAATATGAAAAGTACATGATAAGAAAAGAAAAGTACATGATAAGCACTGTTATAAAGATTAGATATTACTTAAAAATTCTTTCTTAAAAGTATAATGATGAGTTGGATTGGAGTAATTGTTTTTTGTTACCACTACTCAGTAATACCTCTTTTATAAACTTTGAAGTTTTATGAATGGCTCTAAAACAAATAATCATTGGTGCCTAGGTCTTTTCATTTGTAAGAAGGTTATTTCATCTAAGGGTGAAATACCTGTGTTAGATTACTTTATATTTGCCTTTACCCATTTAAACAGTAAGGATCATAGTATAAGGGTGATTATATAAAGGAGCAGATCCCACCACCTCTGGTTCCCCATTTCCTTAGTGCTAAAATGAAGAAGATGGACCCAGGTCCTTTCCAGCAATATAATTCTTTGATCTCCAAAAGTCATTTAATAGAGGTCATGGATAAGGATCTCTTATTAAATCTTGGAGACCTGCATTCTATTAATGTTA